GGGACAACAGATAGAGGTCTTATCAGCCAAGATGAATCATCTGTCTCATGTTAAACCACCTTTGTTGCACGTGTAAGTATAATCGCTGCTGGTTTTCAGTGTTTTGCGTGCAGATGCATTAAGATGCAGACGGGGTCATGCGTTTGTTGAGTTACACCTTACTACCTAGCCTACTTGCACTCTCTCCTCCACCAGCACACATCGCTGGTGCCCTTGTTTGCCGCTCTCCATTTCTAACACTCACTCCATCTCTGAAAGCACATTAATCATAGCAGTCTCCCACATGTTTTCACCTCTACCTCCTCCCCGCCCCTTTTCTCCTACTCCTCCGGTTCTCTTCCTCTGGTGCTGGAGGCAACTGGGTCACCTGCAAACTGGAGGACTGCTGCCTTCACTCTGCCTGGGAAAGAGACGGATAGAAAGAGCTTGAAGGCTGCAGGAGCAAAAACCGAGATCTACTTCTTTTATTCGAGCCAAGTCTGAGTGGTTTCCTGCAGAAAGATCCAAACTGACTTTATGTCAGTGTGAAGTGTGAAAATTGCACAGCGTATAAATGTGGAAACGGGTGATTCATCCTTGTCGGTAACAAAAAGAAGAAAAGTGTAATCTTGGACAAAACTGACTGCTGTGGTAATAAGCAATAGATTAAAATGTGACGATGTAGTAATGAAAAATCAACGTGAAGGCAAAGAGATGTGATTTACCAGAAAACAGCAGCTTGACAGAATTTAATATTAAAGACGCTCTGAGAAAACCTGCCTCTCTGCCTTTAACAGGACCGCACGAGATGAGATTCTGTCAGGAACGAGAAGAAAAGGAGAATTTCCTCATTAATATTTATGAGCTGGAAGCCTGGCCGTAGAGGATTTAAATCAGCTGTTGTATCCCGCAGCTGAAATAACTCCTGAAAAATGGGACAATGGGCCAAATCCACGAACAATACAAGGACAAGACACAGGAGCCACCTCTCCCATTCACACTAACAAACCACCCAGCTACATAAAAGCTTTGTTTTACACATTAACAGACTGTGCCATCTAGTGGATTCATGTACATGTTACATCATATGTATGCAGTTGAGCCCAAAATTATTCATAGCCGTCCAAATTTTTATTCATAGTAAGTTTTTATTAAAGTAATGGGTTTCTTTTGGCTGGAAAAAACATAAATACACCCAAGTAAGAAATTCAGTTAGAGACATGAATGGTACATTTAGACTATTTCTATGTGATTTTAGGTTTATACTACAAGTGTCATGTCCAGAATTGTTCTGTCTTAGTCAATGCCAAAGCCTTTTTTGCCACCACATCAATCAGGCAGTTCTCATAATTGCTAATAGTCTTTCTGCATATCTCCTCTGAGACTTCCTCCTCTGTGATGATCTCCAGGTCTTTGAGGTTTGAAGGCTTCCTTTTCATCACTTGGGCCTTCAGTTGTTTAGATTTGTTTTCTATTAACCATTTCATCGCCACTCTGACTGTATGTGTAAGATCCTTGTCTTGTTGGATGCAATGCGACACACAGGGTTGTAGGTTTTCCTGCAGACTACCTGATGTTAGTAGTTCTCCTTTCTCATGATGCCATTTTCCTTAAGGAGGTGGTCTGGCCTATACCGGCTGACAAACACCCACAAAGCATCACATTCTCACCACCATGTTGACCATGGATGCTGTTCTTGGTGTTAAATGCTTCTCTTTTCTTTGGTCCTGGTGTCCAAAAAACTCCATTTTCATCTCATCCAGCCACAGGACTGAAGACCTTTCTTTGAGGTCCAGCTGAGCTTTTGTGTGTCTGCCTCTGTGCTCTATGGTTCGAGCTCATATAGACCAGCTTTGTTCAGTATTTGTCTGACTGACATGCTGCTACTATAATCGCCCAGGTTCCTGAGGATGGTCTTGGTGGTGATCCTTGGATCCATTCTGCCACAGAGACTTTTCACAGTATGGAACTTCTTGTGCTTCTTGATGTCTACTTTACACTGTGGCCACTTGGAAACACTTCGACGTGGCATTATAGTCTTCCCCCACCTTGTGAGAAGCCACAATGTTCAGGTCTCACTTGTTTAACAAGCTGACTAAGCTCTTTGGTTTGCAACTGACAACTAGCTGGCCAGAGAAATGTTGTGTATGAAAATGCTCCTAAACATGGGAGTAAATACTAGGACCTTTTGCAGTATAGAATAGTAATAATAGTATAGAAGCTGCATTTTCTCAAAAAAATGCGACACTTTCAAGAGATATGAATAAGTTTGGACGTTGCAGTAGTGCTAAAATGTTGTAAAAAAATTAGTTGAAAACCACAGAAATAGTTGAAAGTCATCATTAACATCCATAACACAACATCTTACAATGTTTTGAGATTTGTGAAAGTAATTTCCTGCCAGAATAAACTAACTTGTTAAATTAAAAAAATTCCTATCAATCAAAATGTATCATGGGTGTGAGTAATAATTTGGGCTTAACAGTCAGGGTGAAAACAAAATGAAGTGCTCAGTGCTACTAGTAAAAAAAACCTGCTCATGTTTAGCCTCCTTTCTCACACAGCCAAACAAAAAATAATCCCAAAAAAAACAATTTCTACATCCTCATATAGTTTCTCAGACTAATTTAGCGTATTCACAAGAGGAAGAAATGCAACACAAATAAGCTAGTGTTTTAAAAAGGGCAACACAAAATGGAGTTTACATGAAGCTAATCGCGAGCTTGCTGTGTTAACTTACCGGAGATTTGCAGTTTTAATTAAAAAAATTTTTTTTTAAAAGTTAATTAACGCCAAAAAACGTCCTTCAGTGTCCCAAAACAAAAGAATTTTTTTTTTAAAGAAATAAAGTTTAAACCAGAGTCTCCTCACTACAAACTGTTGACAAAAAGCCAATGAATACTGTTGGTATTATTAGAAATATTACGACATTGTGTTACAGCGCCATCTGGTGGTTGTTTATAGGATCACCACAATTAATTCCACTAATGTGGGCTACATGTACATATTTTAATTTTTTACACATCTTCTGTTATTTATTAACACAGCTGCTTTTAGCGGGTTCCCTGGACCTTTATCAAATGCATATTAAAATAATCAAAGGGTCAGCACCTGCAGTGTATTTGGGGGTCATGAAATATTGTCCTTTGGCACACTGTAGAGTTTTACATTTCATTTATCATGTCGTTTCACCCAAATTACCAAAGAAGGTACACAAATAAAGCAAAAATGAGAATGTCCTGGATTCTTCTCAGTAGATTCCGTCTATTCAGATAGTTAAATACAATTTTAAACACATCCCTCCATTGGTAAATAGGAGATGAATGGATTTTTTTATGACCAAAATACTCAGCTGCAACACCTCTTTTTAGAAACATAGCTGTCTGGACCATCCACCTCCACAGAACACATGTACAGTTTTATCCAGAACGACTTCCTACTGAAGCAACAGTCCCTCTTTCTACTGTTTCTACTATTTGTAGTGTGACTTGTGAGTCCAGACATCACTGGACGAGGGCTCTCCTCCTCACAAATCCCAGTTTAACCCCTGTGACCTCCACAGGTTTCATTAAAACTTTTCCTTTCTAATCTCTTGCATGAGGATGAAAAATGACTTTTAATGTGAAGAGCCTGCATGTGATAAAGAAATAATTGAACAAGTGTGTTTTCACCATCAAGGAATACACTCGACTGCCTGCAGAACATCAAAACTGTTATATTATTACTGAATTTTTGTCTAGTAGAAAATGACTCATCTTCAGTGTGTTTCAATAAAAAATATGGAAACACTACCTTTTATTATAGTAGTCACTGTAAATTGTAGGATATAATAATGTGACAGATAGAGCCAGAGCTCAGAAAACCCATACTGTTACTTCAAAGCTAAATGGCCTCCTCTGTTCTGAGGCTGCCGTCTCCGGGGGAATCGCTCTTCGTGTCCCTGTACGACTTTTGAGAGCGTTGCAAAATGTGGGTCTGCAGAGAATAGACTCTGACAGATAGTTTTCCTGCTATTAGGCGCTACTACAGCTGCTCCGTTTACAGAAATACAATTAAACACACAATGCAAGATGCAAAACCTCTTGTAACACAGAAAAAGGTAGTAATATTTCCGTGCAGTGCATCTTCTCCCCAGTCTGAGCTCATGTTCTCAGGTCTGACTACCATCATATTTAGCTGCACTCATCCTTCTCGACTCTGACCGATCTCTGGTAGAGAAGCATGGCATGATGCTGCCCCCACCGTGCCTCGTAGTTAGGAGGCAGTGTTTTGAAATCAGGCCAAACTTATCAGTTTTAGTCTCAGCGAGTCCCAGAAGTGCTTCATGGGAAACTCGAGAAGAGAACACAGCAGCTAATCCACCGACAGTATGTTCATCTTTGTGCTACTGCATTTGGTAACACTTTACATCAAGGTACACATGTGGTTAAGCACTAAATTATTCATGCTTTCAGTGAGTTTTCATTTGATCAGTGGGTTTCTTCTGACTGGAAATGGCATAAGCAAGTGACTGAAGATGCTAATAACAACTTTGGATATAGAAGAAATAAATTTAAAACAAATCACTAATGTGTCACTTGTTTGTGTTATTCCCTGCTAGAAGAAATACATGTCAAACAAAAATTCACTAAAAACCTAAATTTGACATGAGTATTGGTATGATCTCATAACAAGCAAGTGACAAAAGATGGTAACGGGGTATGAATAATTTTGGCATTTTTAGTAAAACTGTAAGAAAAGAAAATCATAGAAATAATTCAGATGTATCATTACCAACTGTAACAAAACTTCTTACACTCTTCTGTCACTTGTTTGTGTTATTTCCAGCCAGAAGAAACCTATTGGTTGAATAAAAATTCACTATAAATCAAAATTTGGCATCAGTATGAATCATTTTGGGCTCAACTTCATACGTCTTTGTCACAAACAATTCTTCTGATAAAAGTGAATTCAAAGCCACTACCTGGCAGCTGTGACAAAAACATGACGGCAGAGACTCTGTAAAAGACACGTCACATGAGTAGAGTGAAGAAATCTTCAAGAAGCTTTATTAAACTTCGTTCGAGATGGTGAAGGGTGATCTGAAAAAGTTCACCTCTGACACAGTATTGCACCGAGTTCAGCCTCGTGTCGTCAAAAGGCCGACTGCATCGCTAACTCTTAAAAATAGAGGCAGTAGAGAAAATATGCCATCTGAACATTTTTCAGTAGTTAACCTTTGTTTTTTTTTTTCTTCTTCTCATAAATAGATTCGGTTCATTGTTCCGTCTATGGATCACACTTTTATGTACACATCATAACAGCAATCAGCAACTGGATCAATGAAGAAGACAGGAGGCATTTTTAGCCTCATTCCTGTCTGGTTCGTTGATCTTATTTCATCTAATCGACTCTGTTTTCAAAACAACGAAGAACAAATGTACAGTCAGGCAGAGAGGATAGAAATGCATATATACATACATAACAGATACTGTACAGCGTACCTTCTGTGGATGCACATAAATACAGGAAACTCTTAAATACAAACAGTATGTACTTTCATATCTGCAGCGTTAACCGCAGCACGTTTTCAATGGCACACCAAGATACCGAAGTTAAATTAAGGATATTTTTTTAACCCACTGTCTCCCAGTAACTTTGAGGGGGCATGGGTACTCTCTCAAACTGCCAAAAATACAGACACCTTTGGCTTTAGGGTTTAAAGGGAACAGGGAGGGAGAGGTGTAGTGCTTCGAGATGAGTATATACACATTTGGAGTTTCAGTGCATAGTTTAAACTCAGCATTACGATTATGTGCAACTTATGACGTCAGGCAGGCAAGAGAAGCAGCAGCTGGTGTCGACGTTTGGGTTTCGGGTGTGTCACCGACAAGGAGAGGAGATTTAAAACAAGATTCAGACGGTAACAATAACCAAGAATGGATATGGCTTTCTGCACCTTCTTAGGCTGTTTTGAATTTAGGTTGTCTTCGGGCTTCAGTCAACTCCTGCTTCGGGCTTTCTATTCTCCTTTCTAATGTGGATTTTAAAACAAAAAACTGTTGGCAACAAGGTGAAGTAATCAAGGAATGCACCTTGAAAGAAGGGCAGAGTCATGCTTTAAGGCTGGGTGTACCTACAAGATTTCAGAAAACAAAAGAACATGTCATTTAAGCTCCTCGAACAAAACCTGAATCTAGGTTGGAGATGCTTGACAAAATTCCATTAAAGCCAAGAGTTCATGAAACAGAAGTGGCTTCTAAAAGCTGACATCTTTAACTTTCCATGTTGTCAACAACGACACCAGGAAATGAACTGATAAATGTTATATTGTCTCACATTGCAGAACATGTGCAGATAACTTTAAGATGAAAATACTATTGATTTACTGGGCAAGAATAACCAGGTTAGCTAAGACTCAACATCTTAAAGTACTGTACGTGTGTCGTTGTAGTGTGTTACCATGCATGCTAGCATATAAAAATGCTGTACTCGCTGAAAACAAACTGTCTTTCAGCTGTCAGTTTTAATCGTGGGCCTGTCTGTGTTGTTTCCCAGAGCGACGCTGCTACAGGGCACCGGTGAGGCACATGAGGACGAGGATGTGGATCGTGAGCAGGTAAGCCAGGAAGAAATATCGAGAGCGAGCGCGACTCGTCAGCAGCCTGGAGAAGTAAAGGCTTCTGCCTCTGAGCCACCGCCGACACGCCACCATCCCACCTTTCACCTGCAAGTACAAACAACAATGACATTTACTATCAAGAAGCCACGAGGAGCAACCAAATAATATCTCTGTGGACTGAAATCCTTCCTCCTCTTCAACCAAGGACAAAACAACCTGCATGTTATCTGTGTATAAACTAATTAACTCGATCTGCTAGCATTATTAGCCTTAATGCATTCTAAATAACAGCCAGTAATTGCAGCATATGAAATTACTCAAACCTGGTTATTTCAAGCAGAAATTACAAAAACTGACTCTAAACAGAGCAGCTGCCCACATTTGTATTTTTTCTGAAAACAGAACTACATCAACTGGTGAGTCCATCACAAGAACTAATGAGGAATGTCACAGACCAGCTAGCTGCTGCTTTCAGATGATCTGCCCTGTTGGTTGTTGAGCTGTGATACACAAGCTGCTGTTTGCAGAGTTTACACTGAACCTTTGGAACAAAATGCAGCCACATCAACGACTTCTTTGACATGGTCTCAGTTAGTTTGCAGTCGACCCCGAGTCCCAGCAGAGAAATGTTCCCAGCAGTCTTCATCAGGTTGAATCAGTTCAAAGTTGTGACCAACTGACCAACCAGTTCACAATCATTTTCTCTGTCAGTTTTTTCAGACAGCTACATTTCTGTTTGAAATCCCTGCTTCACTTCTGCAGCAAAGACATCAGGAGATGCTCTGAACTCGTCTTAGCTGGTAAAATGTGATCATTCAGAAACTCCTGCACTAATTCTAAAAGCCTCACTGTAAACAGACTGAAAACACTGACTTGCTGAGCAACACTTGTGCCACAAAAACAATAATTCAACACTCTCAGCAGGAGCTGTTGTCACACTGCTATTCCCTCCAATCACAAATGATCCCCATTTCTTTAAACCTTATTTCCAGTTCCTTGTAGTCAAGCTGGTCTGCTTATTACACAGGCAGTGGTGATGTGAACTAAACTCATTGTGTGATTAAAGGCTAAATAATGCTGAGGCAAAAAGAATAATAAAGTCCTTTTGTGTACCTTTCGTGTTATCAGAGGCTGATTCGGGTTGAGACTGAGAGCTTCCCACTCCTCCTCTGTTTCCATCTCGATACTGAAGTCCCTCTGACCATCTCTAGACAAACTGGAGGCAACACTGCACAAAAAGACACTTTTAGAACTTTCTGCACTGTTGGTAGAAATGACAGATTATCTGTAATCGACTACATTTGACTCTCACCTCTTTGCTCGGTCCTCAGCGAGACGCAGAGCCTCCTCAGCAACCTCCCTCCTGGACCTCTCATCAGCCAGACTGAGCTCCACCTCCAGCAGCCTTAACACACATATAAACAAGCATGTTAGTATGTCTGTGACTTGTGCAAAAATCTGAAAGACGGCTGCTGTCGTCACCTTTCTCTGAGCTGACTGGCTTCAGCAGTTTCGGTCACCATGGAGTCGTTGCTCTTCTCCTGTGGGGCTCCTGGAGCAACCTCAGCGTTTACCAAACCCTGCTGGTAGAGACGCAGCATCACGGATAAGCACACATTTAGTTTTGATGCAGTTTATGTGAGAGACATGAAACAAAGTGGGGGGAAAGAAGAGTTAAATTAGGGATGCCAGGGAGGCGGAACATATCAAACACACAAGGATATCTTCAAAAATTCTCAGCTTCACATGGAAACAAGGGGCAGAACTTGTGCACAAAAACTTAAATGTTTGAAGCACAAAAAAGGAGAGGAAAGCCTTGAGCTGGCTGCAGTTGCTTCAGGACAATGTGTCCGTCCACAAAGCACAGGTGGTCTGGTCGAGAACTATCTGGCTTATATATGACTTTCTCTGTCCAACACAAGAAGAACAGATGAAAGAATGACAGAAATGATGCACAAGCAAGTTATATTAAGTAGTCTTTGACAGAATTCAGCAGCAGCTCAGACTTTGAAGTATGACCAGAAACAGCAAACAACCATGAAAAGAAAGAACAGAAGAACAGCTACAGTCTAGAGCAGCAGCGTGCATGTGATTCTATCATGTACCTGTGCCTGGCTCTGGACCTGGGTTTCCAGCCAGTGGCAGCGGTTCTGGGTGTCCCTCAGGGTTTGAGAAACGGCCCTCAGCTGAGCTGCAACAGCCCCTTTCTCCTCCACTGACTGCTGCAGCTGTGGGGTTTTAGTTGTGAGGAAGTCGGGGTGAAAGGGGAAGAAGGGAGTTTTTGCACATTTAAGCATTCATACTTATCTGAGGTTTTTGTCAAAAATAGTGAGAAAAAAACTGTGAAATTAAACACTGAATGTTTTAATATTATTGCTGTGTTTTAATCAGACAGCTGCCTGCTTTACACAAGTTGATTAACCCTTAAATACTGTTCATATTCTTTGTGTTCACCATGTGGCCCGGGTCAAAATAGATCAGGAATTTTCAAATCTTGAACTACAGATCTGTCTAGACTGTATAAATAGGCTATCTGACATTGACAAATGGATGACTAATCCTTACTTAATGTTTCAGAGAGCAGGAAGAGCATATGTTTTTGATTTTACACCACTCGTTTTTGGAGAGAACTAGAAATCTACTATCACACAGTACAATTTCCTTTTTTTTTAACAGCCATAATGATTCAAACAACTTTGTCAGGACTTAACTGACTTCAGCTGCACACTGAGATGAAGTAAGATGCTTTATACCTTGGCATTGAGTTGTTGGAAGTACTGGTCTCGTTGTTGGATCTCATACATGCAGCGCTGCAGATTCCTGTGAAGCTGCAGCCTCTCTGCCTCCAGCCGACCCACCAAGTCCTCCAGTCCACTCTGACCTGCCAGAGCAACTGTTTCCTGCTGCATGGAAGGAAAAACAAGACAAAACAAAACAAACAAAAAAAAAAAACAGGAACAACAACAATGAAAATTACTATTCATTAAATTAAAACTAAAACTATTTGTGTATACATATGGGAATCATGCTTTCATAAGCCAAGAGCAAATGGAACAAAGTCGCATTCTCTCCTTTTAGCATTACAATGACGGGTTTTGAGTTTTTCTTACTTCTGACAAGAAACCCAGAAGTTACAACACCGACACACACCCATACAGTCTTCAGACAAAGGCAAAGTCGATTCACAAGTTTAACATACCTTGACTGGCAGTGGCTCTTTCTTCTCAGTGTCAGACCTAAAAAACAGGAAAAAACTTTAATGTCCAAAGCAAACATATTTGCTCCTGTCACATTTTTACTCACTTTGGGCTCATTTTTCACAACAATATAAAGTCCTGCACCTCTATGGAAACAGTAAAGCCACTAGTAGAGTGAACTCAAAAATGTGATTTGTGCAGTATAACACATCTATAACGTCATGAACCATCCAAAACACAAAGAGAAAAGTTACATTTCTTTTAATATTTATTTACTTTTTTTAAAAATTGGGGATCAGTCACATCAATTACAACCTCTATACAGTTTGTGTTTTCCAAACTACTCTGCACATCACCACTAGAAAGATATTTCACCATGATGAATGTATCTTCCAACAACAAAACCCACTCCTCTGTATGCTGCTTTTGAACGATGCTGCATTTATGTTATTGGTCAAAGATCAAGACTTGGTTAATTTCCATGGCAGAACTGCACATCATACACTAGGACTATTGAAAGGTTGAAAGTCAGACAATTATTTCTGCTTTCACAGTTTCTGGGTGATGAATTGCATGGTTTTGGTGATTTTTTTGAAAAGACGACATGCGTTTCAAAGCTGCTGGTGGGTTTTGGAGTTCAGAGAGGTAAACATTTCGCCTACAACCTGGTGGCTGTTGCGATGTTACGTTTCCATGCAGGAAACACCGTGCACAAGCTGACCAGTGAGTAACAACAAGGTAGAAGCTTTTACCTCAGATGTGCTGTTTCTTCCTGGTAGCTGCTGCCTTCTGTGTGAACCGTTTGCTGTAGTCCGTCCATCTTCTGCTTCGTCACCTGCAATGACATCAAAGAAAACGCCATCCATCACTGATCAAGTCATCTTCAAAAAAAGAAAAATATGATTGACAAGAGAATTTCACAGACACCAGAGCAGCCCAACAACAAAACAATACCATGCAAGTCAAAGCAATGGTATGCAAATCCAAAATAAAACCATCTACGTTGACCCTGCATGCTGTTTGCAAAAGGAACCACAGCAGAGAAATGAGTGCAAGCAACAGCCAAACTCAAATGACAGCTGATGACTTGACTTACCAAACCGTCCTTCTCATTCTGGACGTCACTTCCTTTTGAGTTTTCCACATTTGCGCCAACGGCAGCCTCGGGGCTCGACCCCAGCCTGGACTCAAACACCCTTTTGGCTCCGACCAGCTCGTCCATCAGCCTGTCGCGGTCGTTTTGCAGGCTGGCCATGGATTTGGAGAACGCCGACAGCTGCCTGCTGTACGTGCTATTTTCCAGACTGACCTGTTTCAGTTCTTTTTCCTTCTCTGACAAGGCCTTCGACAGCTCATCCAGCAGCTTGTTCAGCTCAATGTTTACGTCTTTGCTCTCTACAGCTTTCAGCTTATGAACAAGGATGTCCCTCTCTTTGGCAAACATGGCCAAGTCCGAGGTGGAGTCCTGCAGGCTGCGCTCCATCTTGTTCAAGGCTGCCTGAGTCTCTCTGAGCTCTTCGTCGTATCTGTTCCTGAGGATCTTGAAGTCCTCGATGAGCTGGTCTCGGTCGTTCTGCAGGGCGGCCATGGCTTTGCACAGGGATTCATTCTGAGCCTTCAAGTCTTTGTTCTGCGATTGAGCCTCTGATAACCGTTGCTCCATCTCCAGTATTTCTTTGGCGAGTTCTGCCACCCTCTGATCCGCCGTCTCTCGCTCGTTCCTCATCAGCTCCACCTCACGCTCAAAGGCGTCCAGCTCACCGTTGTATTTGTCCTCGGCCTCCGCTAGCTTCTTGTCCGTTTCATTTTCCAGCAGCTGCATTTTGTCCTTGAGCTCATCAGCTGACATTTTCAGAGAAAGGAGCTTCTGCTGCAGGTCGTTGCATTCGGCTGCTTTGGCCGCCACGGCTTCCTGCAAGTCTGTGATCACTCTGCCCTCATTTGTTGAAGCTCTTTCCTTCTTCTGAGTCGATATTTCAGCTTCCAGATTTGAAATCTGAGCTTTGAGTTTAGAGTTCTCCGCCTTTAATGTGCTGCTGGCCTCTTCTTCCTTTTGCAGCTCCAGCCGAGCCTCTCTGTGCTGCTTCCCAGCTGCAGCCTTTTGGGTTTCGAGGTTTTTAATGACATCCTGCTGCTTCTTCAGCAGCACCTTCAACTGGTTGTCCTTGAGGGATAAAACCTGATTTAAATCCTCTCTGTAGCGAACCAGCTGAGCCCTGAGCATCGCGTTCTCTGAGTTGAGATCATCCATTTGATGTAGCAGCTTCCTTATTTCGTGTTTAAGGCCTCTGGCTGCACCGCCTTCCCCGTCAGCGGAGCCCTCTTTCCCCTTTAAGCCCAACTGGCTCTTTGCTTCCAGTATTCTGTATTCTGACATCAGTCGCTCCCGTTCGCTTTGTAAAGACACCATGGAGTTCTTGAATGACTCCATCTTAGCTGCCATCTGCTCCTTTTCCTGGACAGATCTGTTTGCTTGAATTTGCAGACTTTTAACTTTAGTCTCGAGCCCTCTCAGCTCTTTGTCAGCCTTTTCCCTTTGGTAGCGTACAGATGTTAACCTGTCCTCATAAACGGACACCTGGGTGCGATAGTTAGCCTGGAGCTGCTCCAGGTATCCTGACATCTGTCCGTCCCTGCAGGACAGCAAAGATGAGATCTCGGCGTCTTTGCTCTGAAGGAGTGTTTTGAGCTGCAGAGAAATTCCCTCCTGCTTCTCAAAGTCAGCTTGAGTTTTGTCGTTCTGCGACTGCAGAAGGAGAAGCTGAGCATCCGTGTCAGCACTGATCTTCTCTATTTGCTGGAGATGAAGCTGCATTTGGGAAATCGTGTCTTCTTTGTCGGCGAGCTGTCGGCTCAGCGTGTTTTTATCTTGTTCTATTCTCTCCACCTGAGCGCTGAGTTCCTTCACCTGCACCGTCATGAGCTCTGCGGTCTCGCTGAGCTCTGCATTGCTTGCGCTCATGACAAACAGCTGCCTTTGCTGTGCAGCAGCAGCAACAGAATATTCATTCAGCGTCCTTTCCAGTCTCGACTTGGTCACTCGTACTTCGTTCACCTCTTTATCTTTCAATCTCATGTCCTCCAGGAATCTTTTGATCATGAAACCTTGCTCGAGGAGCTGGCTATCCTTCTCATGTAAGGTCTTTTGGTACAAATCGTTCCACAGTTTGGTAGCATCGGCCCCATGTGGAGTGGAACACAGAGCAGACAGCTTTGCTTCGTTAGACTCGGCTGCTCTCTTCAGAGTATTTATCTGCAGGTCTTGAGAGTCAAGCTGCTGCCTCAGTTCATCAGCTCTTTGTGTTTCTCTGTCTTTTAAATCCTTGAGGTCATCTATCTGTTGCTGCAACACAAACTGACTCTCCATGTAAGAGTTTATTTGTGCTTCCTCTACGTTTGGTGGTGTTTTCTCCACGGCCTGTTTATTTTGCTGTGATATCTGAAGAGCCAGCTGGTCTCTTTCAGACCTAACACTCTGAATCTTTTCTTCGGCCTCCTGGAGGAGACTCTTCTGCGCAATGACCTCAGCTTCGACTTGTTTACTCCTCTCCTCTAAAACTGATGTTTTCTCTGCACTTTTCTTCAGATCTTTCTCCAAGTGCTCGCAGGCTGAATGCGAGCTCTTCAAAGAGCTCTCTAAATCTAAAATCAGCTCCTGGTATCTGATGCAGTTTTGCTGCAGCTGATTTATCTCCTGGTGCTTTTCTTTGAGCAGCTCTTGCAGCTCTTTTCTCACATTCTTGGAGCCTTCGCTGCCTCTCTGAACTGTCTTCAGTTTCTCCTCCAGCTCTCTGACCAACTTGAGCTGCTCCTGTTCTTTTTCTTGGCGAACTCGATCACTCATCTCTTTACTTGCTGCGAGCTGAGAGGTCAGTTGTGCGTTTTGAGATTGCAAACCATTTATGGACTCGGTCAGTTCATCGATTCTTTCAGAGTTCTTGATGATCACAGTTTCCAAATATTCATTTTCATTTTTGACTTTGTCTGAGATCTCTTGAGCATTTTCGAGCTCCTCCTGCAGAAGAGATTTGTCGTCCTCTAAGATTCTCACCTTCTCGTTCAGGCTAATAGTGTCCTGGCTGTTTCTGTTAATAACGTCTTTGAGCTCTTTAATGGCGTCATCTTTCTTCCCCAACTGCAACTCGTGATCATTCTGTATCTTCTCGATTCTCTCTGACAGATTTTGCTTCTCCTTTTGTAACAATTTGTTGATTTCCAACTGAGCACCAAGCTCTGTTTTCTGGGCCTCAATCTGGGCGGTGAGGGAATTATTCAAACCGAGTGCTTCATCGAGTTTAAGCTGCATGTTGTTTGTGTACGTATTTGAATCCAAGTTCCTCCTCTCCAGTGAACAGCTAGCCTCTTCAAGCTTTGCTGCCAGTTGGCTATTTTCAGCCTGCGCCTCAGTAAGTTTCCCTCTGAGATCCTCTAAAGACTCGTTCAGTTGGCAAATCTCAGCTTCCAGTTGCTGGTTATTATCACTGAGCTCACACATTGCCGTTTTGTGGTTTCCATCCACCTCAGTCAGTTCTTTCTTAATTTTCAGATTCTCTTCCTCCAGCGTTTCGATCTTCAGCCGTTTCTCTTTGGCATATTTCTGCATCCTCTCTTTAATTCTTTCATTTTCCTCCTCCATCTCTCGGGCTTGTTTCTCCAGATTCTCCATCTCAGTCTCGTGTTTGTGTATTTTCCGGAGGGCCTCCTGCCTCTCTCTTTTAGCCCCCTCCAAAAGCTGCCTCATCTTATCCATTTCACTGCTGACGTTTTCATAAGCTTGTAAGAGAGACTCGTACTCTTGTTTCAGCTCTGCGTGCTTTGACTTCCACTTGGACAGCTCCTCCGTTTGAGAGTCTTTAAGAGATTCAAGCTGGCAGGAAAACGCTTGTTTCTGCTGAGTGATGTTCTCTATGGTGAGTTTCAAACTTTCACAGGCTGCAGACAGACTGCGATTATCATTAAGGATGCGATCGACTTCAGCGCTGAGTTTGTCTTTCTCTTTGCCGATGGATGACACGGAGCTTTCCAGGTCCGTATTTTGTTGTTTCAGTTTCAACGCTGACGATTCCAGAGCTAAATACTCGGCTTCTTTCGCTTCACATCTCGCCGACTGCTTTTCTACTTCGTCTTTGAACGCAGCCTTTTCTTTCAAGAGTTCTTTCCTCGAAACTAAAGCTGCTTGAAGTTTCCTGGTTAGAAGAGCGATTTTGCTTTGGTTATCCTGATCGCTCACTCTGGTGCCATCGTCTCGAGATTTTTGAAGCTCATCAGCATCTGTTTTCATCTTTTCAACAGCAATTTCGTGCATTTTAGTTTGCTGTTGTAATTGCAGTTCAAGTGCAGCAATCAGTTCTTCCTTTTCTGAAACTTGAGCCCGAGAAACTAACAAGGCATCGTCTCTCTCCTTCAGTTTCACTTCAAAGTTTTCGGCACATTTGCAAGAAAAACAGACGCCTTCTTCCTGCGTGTTGCATATTTCAGGTTTTTTCTCGTGCAGCTGCTCGTTTACTTTCTCCTTCAGCTGCTTGCTCAGCGTCGTCACCTCGTCTCGCAGTTCATTGATCAGTTTGAAGGCGTTTTCTTTTTCGTGCTTCAGTGAATCCAAATTCCTCTGTGTTTCAGTGCAATGCAGCTGGGCATTTTCAAGCTCCTGAGTCAGAAGCCCTTTGTCCTCACTGAGCTGCTGCTGTGTTTCCTCTAACAGCTTTTGGATGGCTAAAACATCTGAACATTTCTGCGAAACTAAAGCAGCTGCTGCCTCAAGTTCCACTTTCATCTGATTAATTTGCTCCACAAGAGACTCCTTTTCTTTCATTATGATCTGATACTTGTCCTCACTGGCATGCTTATGCTCCTCAGAGAAGCCTAGCTGGGTCTCTAAAGCCGTGATTTTATTTAATAATGCTTGATTCTCCTGTTGGGTGTTTTCCTGATATCTCTCAACTTCTGTCACTTTCTCCTTTACTTCTGCCTCGGCTTTCTCCAAGTCATTTTCTACCACGTGTAGCTTTGATTTCAGAGCTTCTGCTCTTTGCTCCATGACTACGAGAGTTTCGTCTTTAGTTGCCATCTCAAGAGAAACGCTCTCAAATCTGGATTTAACAGTTTCCAGCTCCGTTTGCAAGCTCGACAAAGAGTGGCACTGGCTCTCCTTCTCAGCCAAAGACATCTTCAAGTCTTGTAAAGTTTTATCTCTCTCTTCAACAAGCTGCCTCAAAGTGTCCAGTTCATCCAGATAAGACAAAGAGGTTCTATGGAGGTCTTCCAGCTCCCTGATCTTCTCATCGAAGTTCAACTGGACAGCGTTGAGCTCGTTTGTCTGCTGGCAGTGTTGTTCCAAAAGGGCCTTGTAGTCGTCTTTCAGCTCAGCGAGTTCTTGACTTAATTTCTTTTCGTTTTCTTGAGCCTTCTTCATCGTCTCTTTGCGTGCCAGCAAAGCAGCCTGAGCCTTTTTCTGCAGCGTTGCTTTTTCTAGCTTCATCTGTGCAAGTTCATTTTCCAAATCAACAGCGCTGGCACTGGAGGAGGATTTGTCCTTTAACTCATCTTTACACGTCTTGATTTCATTTTGAAGCTCTTCTAGTTTCTGCATCAAACTATTTCGGTCTCGCTCGAAAGCTTCGTCCTTCCCAGCAGCACTGGACTGCAGCTGCTCGATGATGGAGTCTTTGTCACCAAGTGTTTGCAATGTTTCACACAAACTCACTTCCTTCTCGTTTAATGTGGTTTCCAGTCTTTGTTTTTCTGACTGTAATTGCTCCACAAGTCTTTCTTTTTCTGTTTTCTGTTCGAGAATCTCTCCATCTTTCTCCAGAATTTTCTTTTCAAGAAGGGAAACATTTTCTTCATACATGTTTTCTGCAGCTTGAGCTTGATTGGTTATTTCATTTAACTTATCCTCTAAAAGTGAAATCTCACTTTTATTGTTCATACTCTCTTCTTTCTGGTTTTCATATTCGTCTATTCTTTTCAGCAGATCTTTTCTCACAACCAGAGCAGCTTGAAGCTTCTTCTTCATGGCATCTTTTTCTTTAGAAACCTTAGCGAGCTCACTCTTTAGGTCGTCTTTCTCTTTAATCAGCTTGACTTTCTCTGAATTCTTGGTCTCGATTTCACTTTGAGAGCCTGAAATATCTTCTTCAAGCCTCTTCATTGCGGTTTTCATGCTCTCTAAATGTGCTAATAGAGAACTGTTCTCCTCACCCAGTTTCATTCTCTCATTCGAGGCGGACTCCATGACTTGGGCGATGGATGCATCTTTTTCCTTTAACTGCTGGCTGAGTCCAGCAAGTAGCTCCTTCTGCTGATCTATCTGAATGCTCATACAGCTGATTTGTTCATCTTTTGCTTGCAATTCAAAATGTAAAGACGAGTGTTTTGCAGCAGCTTCTTTCATTTTCTCCACTTCAGCATCGAGCCGAGTTTGTAAATGCTCTACTGTCTCTTGCAAAAGAGAAATTTGCTGAACCTTCTCCTCATTGCTCCGCTCTCCTTTGTTAGATATATTCTGTGTTTTTTGCAACTCGTTTTTCAAAACGTCTACCTCAGACTGGTGCCTTTCTTTTAACTGTTTTACCATTTCCTGCAAAGAGGACTTTTCTCCATTTAAGGCAGCGGAGCTTTCAAACGCTGATGGTTGCAAGACAGACAAATCTTTGTCAGCTAAAAGTTTCTGTAACTCATCTTCCACGTCTTTCAGAGCCTGCTGCAAATGATGGTTCTCATTATCCTTTTCCTGGATAGATGCTAACATCGTCTCAAGTTGAATTCTGGATGCTGACGCCTCCAACTCTTTAGCGCTCAGTTGATCAGAGCCATGCCTTATTGCGGAGGAAGCCTCGGCTAATTTCTCCTGCAAACTGTCCAAGTCCTGTTTCAAAGCATTAACTTTAACATCTTTAGACTTCATTTCATTCTCAACACTTGTCAGCTGTTCTGCCAGTAGATTCCTATCCTGCTTTTCCCTATCTAGAACTAACAGCCACTCTCTCTCAGAATCCTGCAGAATTTGTTCTATCTTTTGAACGCTTTCTTTTAACTGAGAAAGTTCTTCGTCTTTGGCACTAACCTTTGCTTGAAGGCTCTGCTTCTCGGACGCCATTTTCTCCATTATTTCCTTCATGCCGCTGGACTGCTGCTCCATCTGAACCTGCAGCTCCCCCTGCGACGCCCACTTCAGATGAAGCTCTTCCTTCTCTGCAAGAAGCTTCCTGACTTCTTCTTGCAAATGCGTGTTTTCACTACTGACGGAAGAATGAAGCTTCCGGTGCTCTTCCTTTGACACGCTAATCTCCTCGTTTAGCCTTTTGTTTTGCTCTTCTAGCTTCTGCATTTCTGAAACCAGCTGCGATGCGTGTTTCGCCTGAGCTGTGTACTGGCTATTAATCGCGTGGAGGGCCATTTCTCTCTGCTCGAGGTTTTCCGTCAGCGCGTTCATTTGTGCCACGACCTGGAGGTGTTGTGATTTGAGTCTTTCTATTTCGACAGTCAGCAGCGACACGCTTGACTGATGGGAAGCGAAAGCCTCGTCCTTTTCCTTTGACAGACTGGAGTTCAAGACTTCGGTTTTACCCAGTTTGTCATGGATCACAGACAACTCGTTTCTCAGTGTTTCTACGGTGGTCTTTGCTGTCTCGTGTTCGTTATTGGAGACCTCCAATGACGCCCGAAGACTGGACACCTCATCCGTCCTTTGGGAGAGTTGCTTTCTCACATCCTGTAACTCCTCTAAGTTGGCGGCGAATTTCTCTTGCAGGTTGTTGAAGGCACTTTGCGTTTCACCTGCAGACTTGTTGAGGTTTTCAGACTCGACGGACAGTGACTGGATTTGATTCTGTAGCTGCGACACCAACTCTGTGCTTTCCATGAACTGAGCTTTGAAGAGTGAAGCCTCATCTGCTCTTCTCTGAACATCCTGAAGAGACTTTGACTGCTCCAAAAGTGCTGCTTCTTTTTCTTCCAAGGTCTTTTTGAGATTTTCCACTTCAGAAATCTGCACTTGGAGGCTGCTGTCGAGCTTTGCGACAGATTCTTCAAGGTGTGAAATCTGTTCTTTCATGCTCTCACATTCTGCCTCTTTGGCTTGTAGATGAGAATTCAACTTTTCAACAGCCGCGGATGAATGACTTTGATATTCAAGACTCGACTGCTCGCTTTTCTCCAAAGTATTTTTCAGCGTGGATGACTCTGAAGAAAGACTCTCGACCTGACCTCTGAGTTTACACAAAGAATCTTCAAGCTCTAAAACTCGTGTTTGCAAACTCACATTGTCGTCTGCTTTCTGCTTCAGCTGCTCCGCCTGATCTGCAATCGCACTGTTGAGCTGCTGGATCAAACTCTCCTGTTGTTTCAGGGTATTTTCTTTCCCTTGCATGCCTGTGTTAAGAGTCTCCTTCTCTGAAAGTGCCATTTTGAGTTCGTTCTCTCTGTCACTCACTTGCTCGTGTGCTTTAGACAGCTCTGCTATCCTTTTCTGCAGCTCAGATTTCAGCCTTGTGTTCTGCTCATTCAGCGCCTGAATGCTGTCTTTAAAATCGACGATCTCTGCCGTTCTCTGGCCCTCCTCCTGCACCAACTGCTGATTTTCTGCAGTGAGTTTCTGCACAGACCCTTTTAGGTTGGCAATTTCAGCCTCCATCTCTGCAGCGTTCTCATTCATGGCCCCGAGCTGGCTGCTGAGTGAAATCACCGACTCATTTCGTTTATTCAGCTCATCTTTGTGGCTCTGAAACTCGTTTGTTACTTCTTTTAATGCCTGTTCTTTTTGCTCGATCTGCCGTTTTGCCTCTGAGCACTCCTGCCGAAGTGACTCCACCTCAGCCTGCGCCTGTGATATGAGCTCTTTCTGTAGCGTGACTTCATTCTGATAAACACTACACTCCTCTGCTTTCTGCTGAAACATGGTGTCTTTCTCCATTAGGCCTGATTTCAGAACAGCTCCCTGCTCCTGAAGCATCGATATAGTGTCCTGAAGCTGCAACAGCTGTGAACTCTGCTCTGACACTGTTTGCTCTTTGATACTCAAGGATGTGCTCAGCTGACTAACTTGCACATTTAGGCCATTAACATGCTCTTGTAAACTCTGAAGATGTTCCTCTCTTTCTTTTAGCGCTTTCAACAAATTACTACATTCACTTGTTTTCTCGAGCAGACCTGCAGAGCTCGACTTATTTAACTCGTCTGCTGCAACAGTTAGCTCTTCTTTTTCCGTCAGCAGGCCGTCGATTATTTTCCGACTGTCTGAGATTTGAATTTCAAGACCAGAATTTTTATCCTGCAGCAAATTTCTCTCAGCAGTTAGTTCAGAAACAGACTTAATGTTCGTTGCTAGCTCCTCCTGTAGTCTTTGATTATCCTCCGTCAGGCTGCTAATCTTCGTGCTAAAACTGGAGTTCTGTTCATGAATTGCTTTAAGCTGCCCTTGGAGGTCAGATACAGCCTGTGTTTGCTGAGAAAGCTCCTTCTCTCTGGGCTCACAGGCAGCATGAAGTTGGCGGTTTTCCTCAGCGAGAGCCTGGACGTGGCTGTTTAAGCTAGCCAGCTCCGTTTGCCGCCGCTCGGCTTCACTCTCAAGCTTTCTGGCGTTTTCTTCCATGATGCTAACAGTCTTGTTGGTATCATTCAGCTCATCTTTGTGCTTCTGACACTGCTCTGTTGTATTTATCAGCATTTGTTCTCTCTCAACAAGCTGCTGCCTGAGTTGTGAGCGTTCCTCGTTGAGCGATTCAGCCTCAGCTTGTAGCTTTGTCATTTCCTCCTGTGTCTGTTTAAGCTTTGCATCATTTTCCATCAGCCCAGACTTCAGACTGCGTTCTTGTTCCCGAAGCAGATCCAGTGTCTCCTGAAGCTGTGTCTGCTGATTTTGTTGGGCCTCTTTTTGTGCCTGAAGATCAGCGGCTGTCTGTTCTTTTTCTGCCACGTCATGCTGCATCTGCTCCACCTTAGAAGTCAAACCCTGCACTTGTTCCTGCAGTTGCGTCACCTTCTCCTCCCTCTCCCTGAGTAGCTGATTAAGATCACTACATTCATTAGTTTTTGCCAGCAAGATCTCTGAGTTTGAGTGTGTGCTTTGCTCGAGAACTCGATTTAGCTCAACAGTTCGAGCAGTCAGCTCATCTTTATCTTTTTGTAGCCCTTGAATGATTTTGTTATTTTCTGAATGCTGCGTCTCCATCGTAGATATTTTTTCTCGCAGCGACTCCATCTCGGCTGTAACCTCTGAAATGTTTTTCACGCGCTCGGTTATCTCCACTTCTAGCCTCTCTTTCTCTTTTGTAAGGCAATGCACTTGATTCTCCAGGCTGCCGTTAAGTTCAAGAGCAGATGTAACTTTTTCATTAAGCTCAGTTACATTCTGCTTCTGCAGGTCAGACTCCTTGTTCAGCCCTTCAAGCTTTCCCTGCAGCTGCTGTTTTTCAGCCTTCGTGTTTTTTAAGAGGTTCTTGAGTTTGGAGATGTTTTCAGACTTGTTTTGCATTTCGTTGCTCAATTTCTTGTTTTCTGCATCCCGGTCTTGCAGCTCTGTGTTGAATTTCTGCCTCTCGTCCTTCAGCGTATTTTCCAGTGAAGCTATGGTTTCCAGTTTCTCCTGCATGGCCTTTTTGACGTGCTCCTCACTCTGCACTTGCTCCTCTAATTGTTTGGACAGTGTCTGAACATCACTATTATATTTCTCCACCTGTGCTAAAAGCTTGTTTTGTTCCTCCTTGGAGGATTTCAGCTCTTTTTCATACATCTGTTCTTTATCATTTAACTCTTGCTGTAGTTTTTCGTTGCTGGTATTTCTGTCCTTGAGCTGCGAAGCCAGTCCCTCCGACTCCTGTAGCTTTTGTGCAGATAACGTCAGCTGTTCCTTCAGTGAAGTGATGTGTGTTTCACATTCAGAGAGATGATTGCGATGGCTCACAGTCTGTTTCTGGATCTCCCCTCGAAGCTCCTGAATAGTTTTCTTATCCTCCTCAGTCTGTTTTATCAGATGTTCCACCTCAGTCCCGTTAGACTCTCTTTCCTCTTTGGCCTTCACTAACTCCATCTCAGTGTCCTTGAGCTTCCCGACCAGCTCTGTCATCTTACTGTTCAGGGCTTGCTGGTCTGAATTCTGTGAGTCTCTGATAATCATGGCCTCCCGCTCTGCCTTACTCAGAGCGTTTTCTACCTGGACCAGGCTCTCTTCTTTGACTTTGATCTCCTGCTTTAGCACGGTGACCTGTTCTGCATACTCAGCCATGTTCCCAGTGAGGATTGAGATCTCCTTGTCCTTTTCCGACAGAACATCTTTAAGACTATCAATTTCCCGCTCACAGCTCTGAAGGTCGTGAATGAGCTGAGCTCGCTCTTCCAAGTGGGCGCCGTTTAGTTTGTCCAGCTCCTCGTTTGTCTGATCCAGCTCGGCTTGCAACGTTTCGATTGTTGCTTCTTGTTTTTGTGTCTGAAAATTATGAGATAAAAAACAACAAATAAATATTGAGTTCTCAACATGGGAAACTCAGAGTAAAATCTGATAATGCGGTCCATTTTACACACAAAAATTACATCAATTAAACAAATTTAAATACAATTGAATGATGAGATTACATTAAAGCTGACTGAAATTGTTAGTTCCCTGAATCCCAAGTACTTAATGCACATTTGGTTTCTCTTGTCTCATTTTTACTCACTGTGGGCTAATTTTTTACTGCAATATGAAGTCCTGCAACTCTAAAGAAACAGCACAGTAATGGCCAGAATGACAGAGAACCCCAAAATGTCTTTTGTGTCATATAATACACTTACAATATGATAAATCACAGAAAAGAAAAAAGTTATTTCTTTGACTATTTGTTCTACAAAAATGGAGAAAAATGGAATCAATATGTGCAAGATTTTTTTTCCAGTGCTTCAGATTATTACCAATAAATTGATGTTTTACTATTACCATTTTGACAAACTCCACAAATCTTCTTTTTTTCACATTATTCTGCACATGAAAAGCCTACAAAAATGCCCAGAAACTGCTTGGGGTTCAGATTTGACTATGAAGAAGTGTTTATGTTCCATATATTCAACAGCAGTGAACTTTTTGGCCAAATAAATTAACAGCATGTTGAAAGCTGGCAATGCCTCACCACTCTTACAAAAAGCTGTTAATTTTGTAAATTATTCCACACGATTCAGTTTAATTCTGTTAAAGCACACCTTCTCCTTCAGCACACTCAGCTTCTGCGTGAGGTCGGCCACTTCTGCCCTAAACTCAGAACACTGTTTCTCCGAGCTGCTGCACTTCTTGGAAGTGCTGTCGAGCTGGAAGAAGAAAAAATGAACAACAAAATGACCCACTGTTGCATACTGAAAAAGCTTTTCAAAAATGAAAAAAAAAAAAGAGCCACAGCTCTTACGTTGTGCTCAGTCTGAAGGAGCTTCTCAGACAGCTCTTTGTACTGAGTCTCTTTTTCACTCAGTGATTCTCGAAGGCTGCTGATGAGCTCGAGTTTCTCTGATGTCTTGGCCAACGTATTCTCCTTCTCAATGAGGGAGCTTTCCAGACACTCCTGAGTGTCACTCAGCCTGAAGGAAGGGAAAAAAATCACAATCAGTTACAGCAAATTAATTATATGTTCTGAAATAAAATCTAAAAAATCCATTTCAGTTTGCATCCTGTTTGTTCTTGGTGCTAGTTATGTGATGGATACAAAAAAAATCACACATATTCAATGCAATAATTTAAGTAATTAACTAACATTTTCCCACTCACGTATGATGCAGAGTCTCTGATCATTGCATAACAGATCCAATATTCTATATATCTTAACCCATGGAAGTGAGTTTTTTTAATCTCATAACACTGAACTGCTGCTAAATTTAAACGAACTGGACGGATTCAAATCGAGTTTTTAAAACAGGGCTTTGCTGAAAAACTCGAATCATTCCACTGACAAATGTTGCAATTGTGATGGTGTGTTTGCAAAATAAAATGTGACTGAACAACATCGACGGTTATTTTAGTTGTGGTCTAATGGTTTGGCGCAACAAAATCCACTTGAATACTAGTAATAAAAATAATCCCAATATGCCTCTTTTCACGTGCACTAAAATGTGTTTTTTGATAAAAACAGAAATTGGTGGTTTGATATTTATTGGCTGAAATTTACTGTGCAGATTGTTTTGATGGTGGCATTTCAAGAACTGGCGAGGATCTACATACAGAAATACTAAAGAAAGCCAAGGAATTTTGGTAACGCTATAGCAAAGCAGTGCTGAGACGCGCTTCATGCTTGGTTCTCATGCACGTCATTGCCAGAATACATTTGGTGTTTGCTGGTCTAACAGTTAAAGCGTATACCACATCGTGTAATTGTGTAGTGTAGTGATTCTTGGGCACGAACACATGTATGTGAACACATGTATGTCAACCAAAAAGTTCAGAGTCCGAGCCTATAAAATGCAAAAAATGCACCTCATTTGGTTGCTGTCTCCTTTAAATAAGTCTCTTTGTGCACCGACATACATCATTCTGGTTCAATCAAACTATATGCTTTCCAAACACTATGTGCTGTGTCAAAACGGAGACTCTTCAATTTGAATTTCATTTTCTGGAAAGAGGAGGAAGTTGCCAGGAGCTAAATCTGGTGAGTAGCGCAGGTGGAGAACAAGGCGCAACATTTTAGCGTTTTCAAAGTGCTAGCATGATGGTACGTGCCATTGTTCAGGTCGTTTGCACTAAATGTTCTTCTTCCTCAGCGTTAACAGTCAAACTCTTACAGTCAAACTCATGTACAAGTTCTAGGTCCATGACAACATGTACACTTGCAAGTGGCCAGAATTGGACTTCCAGCACTGGAAGCAGTGTATTAATGCACAAAGAGAATACTTCGAAGTGGCCAGCAGCCAAATTTAAATCGGGTATTCTGTTCAGAAATGCAAGTAAATAACTATCATTTGACATCTTTCTCAAGCAATAATAATGTGCTTTACTATTTTTCCTTTTTTTTTTTTTTTTTTTTTAGCTCTGTCAAACAAATCTAGACGATATGATGCATTTTGTTGTCTCGATTGCTCGAGGTGTTGTCATAAACAGGCTCAGCTGCTACAGTTAGTTGAGATAAAGTTTATATTGTCAAAACGCAATGCTTTTTTTCTTTTTTTTTTTTTTTTTTTGAAAACAGTATATTTGAAAATTCATGGATAAAAATAATAATTATATTCTAGGAGTAAAAATATCATTTTGGTTAAAGAGCTTCTACATACTAGTGTCTTAACCATTACAGAAACATAAAAAAATGCTTTGGTAATTACCGATGCTGTTAATATAGGAAACCTTACACTGGGTGGTGGTCCAATAAATTTGTTAAGCACTCTATGTTGTAAGAACCAGGACATAAACCTTCATAGAAAACAGTTGCTTCATTATTTTGTACTTGAGGAAAAAATTTATTGCAGTTTTAAGTCCAAAAGCTAAATGCACTTGAATTAATAGCTCACCCTTTGAGCTGTTCGTTCAAACTGCTAACCAGCAGCTGATGCTTTTCTGCCTCTCTGCTCTGTTGGGTTCTCACACTGGCCAGTTGGCTCTGCAGTTTCTCTGACTCGTTCTGTAGTGGCAGAAAAAGAAACATCAATATGCAAAGATTAAAATCTTAAAATCATCGGACAAACACACTTGCACCGCACACGGACATGGACGACAGCAGACCCGCCGCGTGTTTTCACCACTCGTGAGATAAAAATGAACTTCAATATTCAGCGTTCATTTAAGTTAGAAAGATGAGCAGTGATTTACGACACCCAGTGAGTCTGCGACAGAACACTGTGCTTTATTCGAGGTTAAACAAGCACACCACACCATTAGCTGTCACCGCCAGAGGTGCCCTCCAGCGCACACGTACATGAACGACCCAACACACCTGAGAGACCCAACATGGCAGCTCATCTTCATCTACATCAAACGTCACCTGTGTTAGAAGGGTTTGTTACAAAATCCCAGTCCTTCGGGGGGAAACATGCAATTCACTCATCGTTTACTCATCAGTAGGTAAGTTACATCGTCAGTGTTTAAGACCATATTTGACAGGACAAGTGCTGCTTTGAGTTAACCCTGGAGCTACTACGTACTGTGTGTTGTTATGTACATTGCAGCTACCTGTAATGACTCTATGCGTGCTTGCAGCTGCAGTCGGTCCTCCAGGTCTTGGCAGCGCTCCTCCAGGCTCAGTATCTGCTCCTGCAGCTGGTTCCTTTCCAGCTCCAGCTCCTCCACAACAGACCGCAAACCATCTGGAACCACCAGACAAGAGAATAAGTACCCTCATATCGGGTTACGTGAACAAATAAAAGCTAGTCACAAAAAAAGCCACGAGAGAGAGAGAGGAGCAACCAGCTATAATAGGTCACAGTTCTACAGTTTACATTTACTAAATTCTGCCAGTTTGCAGACATTTACCATTAAGTCAATTCCTAAACAGATGTTTAAAATTAAAGGTCTTCCAGTAGCTCAAAGGTAATTTAGGACTCATTATGTTTCCGAGTATTGAACAAGCTAATTGTTTGTTTGCAGCTACTTATCTGAAATTTAAACAAATGGCTAAAAAACATGACAGAGATACCGTGGAAAAACTAAATTCAAAATCTAAGGTCATTCTGTGGAAGGCCTTGATTGCAGAATGTAAGAAGTCTGGGGGAAAAAAAACATCTCTCATGAGCTAATTAAACAAGTATTCACTGGCAGATTAACTAATTAAAGGACAGGCTTAAAAATGCAGTTCAAATTCACAAACAACCAAAAATGACACCAGTTTTTTCTCTCTTTACTCCCCAATTATAATTTAGATTCTTGTGTATTTTTTGTGTTCATTTACCTTTTTTTCAGATAATTCCTGGTGTATTTTTTGGCTTTACAAGACAGGATGGGAAGAAAAGAAGAAAATGGAGCGGAGCATGCAAACAATGAGAAATAAAAATAAAACAAAACTTACCACAGATGGGGAGCATCTTGCCACCTACGTTTACATGATCTCACGAGAGTTCAGTGCATTCAGGGGACGAATCCCAACAAACACTAGCCAGCTCAACCAGCATGCACATGTCCAAAATAAACACTGTAAACTGATGAATACGATGAGCAAAATGTGAATGTGTAACTCTGAGGATTGTGTCAATTGTCCCAGAGTTGTTTTAAATAAATTAGAGATGAGCTTAAATTTAGCTTGCAACATTTTGACCCACGTTACAATGAAAGCAAGCTGAACCAAGCTAATCCTTGTAGTAAATAAACTACAGTAACCCAATATAGGTAAGCCAGTTCTGACATTTAGAATATTGGCAGGTTAGATGAAACCAAAAAAAGACAAAACCAACCAACAGCCACAATCCAACACTCAATAAAAATAAGTTTGGAGTGTTATGGTGAAAACGACAAAATAACCCAAAGAAAGCTCAAGTTTCCCAAAGTAATGTGCAGATGACTGTGTGCATGCCAGTGTAAACTGTCCAGCGGGTCTCACACCTGTGTCAGGAGTACTGTACTCGGGCCACCAACCTCCCATGTTCTCGCCCTCCATCGGGGTCGTGCTCTCCGAGGTGCTCCGAGGGTCCTGGAACGAGGCCTGGCTGTCAAACTCAAAGTCCTCCTGCAAGTGGCAGAAATTGTATCATAGCAGGGCTATGAATGTTTTGCATCTTTTATTAAAACAACACACGTTACCGTTACTTGTCAGTAATGGGAGGCAGATTGTCTTTTCTTTTCTTTGGAATAATCCAGGTTAGCATTTATCGCCTGCTTCCAGCTCAATCAGCAGGTCTGCATTGTCCAGGCTACACACTTGATACCTTGGTTGATGTGCTCTCAATGTTACTTTCATAAGGAGAGAAGCGTTACATCAATAGCTTACCATGGATAAATTTGAATGTACTTCATTTGATAACGAATATACAAGTTTACATAATTCCAATATGAAGATGAAACTGATGTACTGAGTTTAAAGCAATTGCTGATTTTCAGCTCGAGCTCCTCGTTGGGCTTTTAAATACACAATAAAATCTAAATATAAAGCATTCATTCTTTTAAAAAAACTAACAAACAAAGAAAAACAAACACTACACTCTACATATGGCTGTAAAATAAAAATTATTTCTGGCAGCAGGAGACTCTGCGTTCACAACCTAATGCAGACTGTTAGATCAAACTTTTTTAATTAATACTCTGAGTCAGCAAACTGGCCCACACCGTGTCAAAGAAGTTGTCAGTGTAGCTGCATTTTTCTCATATAGATGGCCAGAAAGTCCAGTTTAAACTTTGCAAACAGCAGTTTGCACATAACTGTTCTACAAACCAACATAGCAGATCATCTAACAATCATCCAACAGCAGCTAACTTGTCCGTGTTATATTTCTTAGGAGTCCACACAGAGCCCTCTGCACACATCTGCATGCAGCCCTAAAGGGCGACAGTGTTCATGTAAGACAGCAGTGTGTATGAGCAGAGTATGTACATACAACCTACTGCCAATGCACGCAACTTCCATGGACTAGAAAAGTAGCTACAAATACGCGTCTGTGGTGCAGCTATCTGCAAAAGGCTATAATTCTATCTTAAGAAGCCTTGACAAAGATTTTCTTTGGCTAAAAACAGCTTAACAAAGTTCCATTATTAACTCATATGAAAAGAGGCATCCGTCCTCTCAGCTTTCACAAAGACAGAAAACTACTCAACCATTCCTTTAATAAGAGTGTCTCCTCTCAGCACAAGCAATCAGTGTCTTGTTGAGCTTTGTCACGATTAAATAAATGAAAATTTCTATGAGCCTCTTCAAAAAGACAAACTCAATTTGCTCTCCCTTTTTCAACATTTGTAATTCTGGGGAACATATCAGTTCTTATTGGAGTAAGTGTTTATTTCTTCTCCAAGAAAAGAAAAAAAAAGATTCTAAAGTACAACTTGATTATGCATCTGTGGCTTTTTAGAGAAAAAAAAAAAAAGGTACTATAAGTCTATGCAGAGTTACCAAACCAGGATTTAAACACAAAGGAACTCAGTCACAGCAGTATCAGTAGGTTTTATCAGGTTTTGTTCAACCTGGCTGTGGAACTGTTTCCAAAAAGTCTGCGTAGATTCTAAGTCATCCAGGTCATTGTAACCCAGGGAGCTTCAGTAGAAAGCAACTGGACTTCTCTCTTAGGTTCTTGACAACGTTTTCACCTCTCATCCAAGAGGCTAAAGAAGCCTGTTAGCTGAGAAGTGTAACATTCTCAAGAAACTAACAGAAAGTCCAGTTACTTTTTTGTGGTTTCCACAAAGTTTTAATGACTGGATTGAAATTTAGAACTTAATATTTTAATATGTAAATTGGTGAATCATTTTGATGATGACACACAGTCCAGCAATAAAACTGTCCCTCACAAGGTTTCGTGTAGGCAAAAGGGAAATTACTCGACCTGAGTTTGTTCCATGATTTCATCTAAATTGTGATTATTTCATGAACCACAATTTCCAAGCTTTTGCAAACAATGGCTGCTTGGCTGAAGTGAAGTTTTGCAGCTGGCATATCTGAATAAGATATTGCTGTTTGTTGTCTTAACCAAATTTAGAAATCACAACACACAGCAAATGTCTGGAGGCATGCTGGTTTAACCATGGCACAGCCACAGCGATGTCCACCTACCTGCAGGCTCCGCTGGGCCGGAGCTGCCAGCTTCTTGACCCTGTGATGGCCGAGCCCCCGAGATTGAGCCAACTCCTCCTCCAACTCCTGCTGCCGAGTGGCCAGTGCTGGATCGGAGCAGCCAGGAAAGAACCAGTCATCCTCAATCAGTTTTGTGCCACAGGGAAACGGGAAGGATTGAGGACGTATTTATGGATGGGAGGCGGGTATGAGGTGGAGTGGACAGATTTATGGCAGAGTGGTAGAAGATATTCGTTTTGAAGACAGGATGACAGAGATGGAGAAGAGATAAGGAGCATGATGGCACAAATGGTGCTGGTGGAGGTGAGGAGGCACTTTTCAACACTACAAATATACTTCTTTTGTTTCTTAACATAAAAAACAGCTTAATCCAACAGTGGAGGCAACAAGACAGATAGTGAGACTGCAAGAGAAGCGTGGAGACTAAGAGAATCAAGGACGGACAAAACAGAGTTACTCAAACTTCAGGTTCGGTATGTGTTTGTGTATTTGCATCAGATACGAGGACCTGAGAGACAATTTAAAAGCAACATTCTGGTCAGAGCCATGCACACCTAATTTACATAGCAAGGGAAAACAGCATTCAAACATGTGGGAGACAGCGAGTGAAAGTGGCTGTGGGAGGAAGGACAGAGCCCATTTCTCATGAGTCACATTTAAAGCCAATGTTTCATCGCTGTGTCTACAGACAGACGCTTAGAGGAACACCAGACAGGTGCAGATCTGAGGGGGATTCTCCATGTTTTTGCTCAGATTTTTTTCAATTTTTGTTTTGATTCAGCAGTACAGGATGCAAGCAGGGCAATGTCAAACTGATTAGAACAAAACATGTTCCCATCTGTTTTGTGACCGACAGGCTGATTTTGGTGTGTAAGGGGAGGGAGAGGGAGGAAGGGGCAGCTCAAAGCAAAGGGTGGGGCAGAAAAAGAAAAGGAGCGTTAAGCAGTGGTCAGTGTGGATTCAGCGTACAAGCAGGATGAAGCAAAGAGGGACTATAATGCATATAATGTCGAACATGAATCAGGACTGTCTGCAACCGTCTGCACTAACTATGCTGATTCTACAGTAGGTCTGCTTCATACTTAAATACAAAAAGTTAGTTCTTAGCTGTAATTAATAAAACTTGCTGGTTGCCTGTTGTTTTCTATGTGTATGCCTGAAAATTCAATGCAGCCAAAGTGTCTCATACAAGATCCTACAAACCCAAAGCATACAGCTTATTCATGCTTTCACAAAGTAAGATCATATGTTTAACATGGAGGGAAATGCATGCATTTTCCCCAAAGTGACTGGGAATAACTTTGCAGCCCTTAGACTTAACTATCTATCAAATAGCTTTAGCTCTCCATGATATAATTAAGGCTGTAGTGTCCAAGTCAAGTGGTCGATCGGTTGATATGCTCTCATCCAACCAAATTCGGTTGGAACAGCAGCATTCATTGATCCATTATTTTTGGCAGCTGGAGGAACAGACTACCAGTAAACATCCCCACGTTTTCACAACTTTGATCCTACATAATGGAGACGGCTAGGTTGAAGCCAGTGCTACACTTTCCATGTCTGTAAGTACATAAGGGTCAGCATGACATAAAAATCATTATCCACTTAAGTGTACTACTCCGCCCAAAACTGCTGTCCACAAGGCGACTGCACAACAAGGGCATTAGTTGTTGTGTGGAATACACAGATGCTCTTCTACTGCACATGTATGGAACACAGTCCTCCAACTGGACTGGAAAAGTAGCATGAAAGCAACAACTATGTGTCCATGGTGTTCACAGTTCCAGCTGCCAGACATAAACAAGGATTAAGGCCAGTCTTATGCTTTCGGTGTCTAGGAGGACAGTAAAGTTCATCAGCGATACACTTCAAGAGCAGTGGTGAAAGTGCCAAATATGGAAAAATCAGCGTGTTTGGGATGAAGTCCTCCAAATGTACTAGAAAGTAGCACCATGTATCCACGTATGCATGGTGTCAGCAGCTGCCCGTGTGAGTGTACGCAAGGCCTAATCGAGGCTTAACTTATTTAACATTTACACCGACAGAACCAATACTCAAGAGTGCTTCCACTTTGTTCAAACGGATGGACAAAAAGTGGGTTGTAAATTTTGCAAACAGCAGTTTATGTATCCCATGATCAACACTGCAGATGATCTATCATCAATAGTTCTTGTGCTGGTATCTCCAGTTGATAAAGTTCTATTTTCAGAAATCACATGAATGTGGTAAGGTGCACACAGGTCTGCTCTGAGTCTGTTATCATTTTGGTATAAAATAAAGCTGCGTTAGAATTCTTTCAGGACAAGCCTAGAAGTGAGAGCACACTTAGTGTAGTACTGCCCTTTACTTTTTCTATAGATAACTCCCTCGAAGCAATTGATTGAAGAGCAGATCGATTGATTGATAGTCAACCAAGACTTTCTTCGGTTCACTGCAACCCTAAATATATGGATCACTGTAACACAGAAGAGTTCTTATAATCCACATCAGCAGATATTGAGGGCTGCAGCAGCAAAACGGAGAAGCTGAGCGAAGCAGACTTTAAGGTTGGTGGAGTTGATGAGCTGATGAGCTCTAACTTGGATACCATGTGATTGACTGATTCATGCTTCTGCCAACATCACATCAACTTGTGTATCATACAAGACTCTATTCAGCAACAAACAATATTTTCAGGAGCATTAGATGACGACAACAACAACATCAGCAAGTTAGAGTATATGCTTCCCATAGACACAAATTAAAGTACCACAATTACATCAGTGGAAACGATTGATTAGTATCCAAAGGTTAAAAAAAAAAAGAAAAAAAAAAGACGTCTCCCATCAAACTTGGTGGGACTAAAATGTTTTAGGGTTTCTGTCAGTGCTAGAAGAAAAGGTAGTGAAGTGAGACACACGGCTCGATAAAACTCTGGCGACAAATTAACTGCACTTGCCCTTCATAAAACGTGTTAATTACTGTGAGGGTTTTGAGTTGATTTGTGAAGCTTTAGAGTCTCATTATTCACACTAAGCTCATCAATGTCAACCCCACTTCATCGATTCAGTAATTTAACAGTTAGCGGCACACACAGATAATCAAAATCAACAGGCATAATTAATGTAAAAAGGATCATTAGCCATTTTACTTTGAACATGACTTTGGCTTTACTTAACTTGAATTAATGAGGAATATAGTTTGTGCATTACTCTACATTATAGAACAACTAGATGTCCAGATTAATGATTACAATTTCATTGGGTAATCAAAGATTTGAATACATAGATATTGTGTATATAAAGGCACTAAGCTGTCATAAATACTTTCAAAAACCAATCTTTTTTTTTTTTTTAACTTTTATATCCCGATCTTTAAGTCTTAATCTAAAACATGAGCACATCACTTTTTTTTGAGAATGCCTGCATCACTAATGTATAGAAGCACGTTGCTGCCGCACCACAAGGAGAAAAACTGATCAGCATCAGGTTTTTAAATCGTATTTTTCCACATTGTAACAAGACATTTTAAAAATAGTAGGACTAACAAACGTATCACGTCATAACAAGAAACTTTTCTTTTTCTAACAATGAAACCCTTCACATTCTAGCGTGATACCATCCATTATTCTAACATGACACTCAAGTTTGAATGAAGAAACTGCGTGAAAAATGTGCCTCATTTACACAATTTGATTAAGTTCTATTTCACGCTTGAGTTGAAACATGGTGGGATTCTGCTGTTATTGAGCACTGCGGATGTGGTATGCAAGAACAAAGAAAAATGTTCAAATTCATGAGGCGGTAAGGAGGAGGAGTGAATTCTCTGGGGATAGCCTAACATCATTTCTCATTGATCAGCTGGAGGTGCAGTTGACGCTCCATGGATATATGACTTATCACAGTGCCATCCATCACGCTTGCTAGACAGCTTTTCACTGCAGAAACTCAGCGTGAGGTGGTATACATTTTACAGGAACAACTCCTCAATCAGCCCTTTTAGCCGTTCTGTTTACAGGCTTTATAGTATTCAACAGCTTCAAACACAGAGGAGTTTTTCAGTGCTGATCAGGTGCACCAACCCTAAAGTAGGTACTTTTTCTCCATTGAAAACGGCCCTGAAAGAGGTTCTCGGATGCAATTCTTGACATCAGAGCAGGTACAAAGTTTCAGGCCACCAAAAATGACCTGCAGTGGAAAATTACCAAATAACAGCAGAATCTGGCCCTGTTAAAGTCCTTAAAGTAGGAGTGAGTCATGTAAATGATCAATTTATCTGTTCTTGTTCAAGTTATCACATCATAAAGCGAACATAATAAATAGTACAGAATTATAACAAGACAAGTTTTTTTTCATAATGTGATAAGTTTGTATGCTGTTAAAAACATCTTGTTATAAGAACAAAGTTCTCACGTTATAACATGACAGTGATCCATTTATCTTTTGCTGATGTGGCAGTAGTAATACAGCTTCTTATTTAATAATAAAAGAATACTCTATGAATGATGTTTCATGCTCCTATTCTGCACCTTCAGCATTATTAGCCTGTAAAGAAAGATGGGTGTGTTGCAGTCGATGCCACATGAAGAAACCCTGTCAGTCTCATAGCTCTGAGGAGTTATGCACATTAGTCCTCTTCCCAGAATTATCTCACCACAGAAGAAAGACAGCAGTGTTGTTTGATTATATTTGATACCAGGATATTATTGTTGGTGGTGTGTTCTAAATTATTTCAGCAATGGCCACACCAGAAATCAAAGGACAGTAAGTAGAAACAAGAGGAGAGAGGAAAGGAAAGGGGTAAAGGAATGGAAAAGAAGACGGAAGGAGAGGGGAAGAACGGAGAAACAAAATGGCAGACTCTAAAGTGCATCCTGCTACTGTACTGCCGGCAGCTCACCCCCAGCAAGAAGGCAAACATTGAGGGGAATTGCAGGCAGTACAGCGAGCAGGAGCTGCACTGGAGGTTTGGAGGAGCCTGCATGCACAAAACTGATGGGAAACTGTTCTGTGTGGCTGCTCCCATCCCTGGAGCAGGGGCTGGAGAGGGAGAGTGGGGGAGTAACGGAGGTCCACGAGATGGGAGGCAGCACAGAGTAAGCCAAATCTCGTAATGACAACGGTGAGGACAGGGGAAAAATAAAGAAATAAATGTTCAGTCAGACAACAGAGGACAAGTGGCAAACAGTCAAACATAAACTCTGAATCTCTCTGAGTTGGATGGTGCTGCAGCTAATGAAAAATTTACTTACATTTAGTTACCATCTCAAGAGGTAATTTACTAAGTTGTACTGTCTGAATATTAGAATTATCTCTGTGTATAGAGCAATGGCAGCAGAAACTACAAGCTGTTAATGTTTATGAAGCTGAATTTGTAGCCCTAACACTGCTTCAACAAGAAATGAACAATAGACCCTTAAAAAGGTGTCATTTACTGCAGGACTTTTGCATTGTTTCAGCTAGATGCACCTAATAAACTGGCCTCAGTGACAACATACTAATGCCAAACAGCCAAACTCCCATCTTACAAAGCATTTTCAAGGTAATCTTAGATTGACAAGCTCGTAGTCAAGTACAGAGAAATGTCACTAAGAATGAGGGTGCTGGGGATTTGTTGCACTGTTATTTTGTGTAAAGGCTCAAAACATGTGTCAGCAAGAAATGCAGCATTCTCCCTAAAAGATACAAAACAGTGATTGTGTAGGACTTATTTCTTATTTATGCATGTAGCCTTGACCTTAATAAGGCTTTATAAATACTTTATATAAGAAGGAAATCCAACTCTGGAGTGAAAATAAAAATAAACAAGTGCATTAAATGTGCATGAAGCTCTGTCATTTTAAATTGCTGGAACTCAAAGCTGTCCATGTCTAAGTTGCAAAGCTTACTTACTCAGTGTGACATTCTGGTAAATTTTAAACACAGTAATGGAGAGCAGAGGCATAGTAATGACAGAATAGGTTGAGCCACCACCACGACAGCTACCGCTCTGTTAGTATGTATTGGGGAGAACCCCTGAGTTCAGTATTTACGTTAATAAATAAACAGACAAATAAATAGTCAAAAATGTAGACAGTTGTATAATCTGTTTTAATGAGAAACTTTTGAGGGCTGTAATTAACACTAAATTATTTTATTTAATATATGCTTAAACTGCCTACCGTTTTAGAAGGACTTAATACGTATTCTGGTTAAATTCAAAGAGTGTAATGCTGACTTAGAGGGTTGGGTTAGTAGTTAAAGTGCACTGTATTAAAGAAAACATTGTAATAGGGTTTTTAATCACATACGGGTTACGTCATAGCATTTTTCATATAAATTAAACTCACTGAGAATCTGTGCTTTACACTCTATAAGGATTTTTTAAGCAGATTAGATGTGCATGAGACACGTGAAAAAAAAAAATCTATAAAATATAAACAGCAGACTACGCTTTAGGGTTGGGCGACTGGACACAGGCATGCCATTGGCTGCTAAATACATTCATGACTTCTTAGGGTGATTTTTGTCATTTAATTTTGCTTATTTAAGAGTCTTCCTCCTTGAGACAACATAAATGTTGATATTGTGGCAGGCCGCAACAATTAAATGAAATGCATGTTAAACAGTGATTGACCACTTTGGACGACACCTCTGAGAATACATCAAGAGTCGCTGCTTGTTGAACTGATGGTGGCTGGTTGAAATTGTTAACAAATCGCCCAACCCTTGGCTTTTCACTGAATTCTGACCATGACCCACCGATTAACATTTTGACTTCAGCTTCATTCGGTCAATTTTCCATCTACAACAGTGAGTCTCATCCTCCAGCAGTGACCTTACCCTCTCTTTCCTCCTCCATGTGGCTGATGCGGAGCACCATGGCGGCCTTCTCCTCCCTGGCCCGGTCCCTGGCACTGACTGCCTCGGCCACCATCTCCTGCCACTCCAGCACCTGGCTCTGAGTGTCATCGGCACTGCCCGACTCACTGGCCTGCAGTCGGAGGGAGCACAAAGGGACCTACAGTGAGCATGTGTCATTAAATGTACACCAGAAGCAGGAGGTTTTAGGGAAGAGCCTGGATCTTTAACCTGAGAAGCAGCCCTCTTGGTGAACTGCTCCAGGTCGGCCTGCAGCGTCCTCTGTTGCTCCTCGTACACCACCAGCTTAGCCTCCAGCATTTCTAGCAGAAAACACCAAACACCCATGTGAGTTTTGGCATCAAAGCGAACAAGGTTTAACTATAATGTTATTGTATTTCACTTACAGCGGTGGAGCAACATTATGAAGAAAATATGGTGTGCTGGTGTTTATACAACACTTACAATTAAGCACTTGAAATTAGACTTTAGTACCATTCTTTGCTTTAAGCTCCTCATATTGCTCCACCTTCCAGAGGTTTTCCTCCCTCTCCTCCTCCAGTGCTGTGATACGACTCCGCAGGGCAGTCAGGTCTGGTGGGGCAACTCCAGCCTGAAGAGAACAAGGTAAAAACATCCTTTTAATTACCTTTGTTTAAAAAAAAAAAAAACTTAGCTGGCTGACTGTAAAAGAACTTCTTCCTGCATTTTTATGGCATGCTACAGAAATAAAAAATAGCGAAGTTTCTTTGTAAAAAAAAAAAAAAAACTGATGGAAAAGGAAGACTGATAAAGTGACAGATGCCACATCAGCTTCACATCCAACCAGCAGAGGACACTAGCTATTTCAGTGTCAAAACAAACAACAGAAAATGTCTAGAAAGGACGATAACAATGTACAATTTAGACATCTCACCTGGCTTTTCTTTAACTCTTCCTCCAGCTGTCTGATTCGAGATTTAGACCAGGCTTTCATTTTTAAAAACTTGGCCTCGGATCTGCTGGCTTCGTCTGTTTTTTGCTTTGCTTGAGCTGCAAAAACAAGGAGAGAGAAAGCGTGAATGATGAGCTGAATGAAATAGCGATATTCAAGGCTGCGGGTCGATAAGCACAATCTCTGCAGACAGACATTGCAAATATCATTATTTAAATCAGGGAATATGTGGGTGGGTGTGTGTGTGGGTGAAAAGTGTGTTCTAGAAGTTAAACACTAACTCAAAACCAAATGTTTTGATGCATTGGGGAATAAAATCTGAGAAAAATCTGTTATAAAATGATTTGTATGAATGTGGGTAAATTTTAAATTAATTTTTCACTTTACAGGCCAAAAAAAATCCATTCAGCCAGGGTGAAGTAAATTGGACTGCTGCCCACTTCTTCTGGTCAAACTGAATAACCAACATAAAAACACCAACCTTCCAGCTCTGCTATCCTCTGGATGGAGGCTGAATCAGTGGGCACGTTTCCACTTCCTGCGGCCTCCTGACTGGCAGGCGGTGCTGCCACCGAGGCTTTCCTCATCTCCTCCAGCTGCCTCAGGAGATCCTGCTGGGTTTGGTCCATCTGTGCTTGATGCTGCTCAGTGATTCGCTTCACCTCCGCCTGTTGCTTCTCCATCAGGTCGCGAAGTTGTGCTCGCATCACGTGCTTCTCTGCCTCCATCTTGGATTCAAGGCTCTCTCTTTCTACCTGTAGCCGTCGCAGACGCTCTGTGAGCTCCTGTGCAGAGAGAGTGGAGGGAAGAGTTTAATTTGACTTTTTATTTGAAGAGAGGTTAAAAACTGGCCTCTGAACAGCAAGGGAGAATACTTTATATAGGTTTTATTAAAGGTCAAGGTGCAAAGTAGAATGACAGGAGGTCTCTGCTGACCTTTATCTGCTGGTCCCTGCCATCCACCTCTCCCTGGAGAACATCGATGACCTGGGTCTTACCCAGCAGCACCTCCTCCTTCTCATGAAGCTTCTGTTTTAGAGCCTTCAGAAGCTGAGCAGGAGAAAAATGGGACATCACATAAACAACAGAATAGCTTTGAATAAAACTCTTGGCCTGCTGCCTGGGGCTCAACACAACTTCACAAATAATATCAAATAGCACATAAATTTGCATATTTATTTTTCTTCTGTTTCTTCTAGTCTATTAATTTGATGTTAATGTTTTTACACTGCTTTTCTCCCTCGTTAAACATTTAACTACTCGCAAGCCAAAACCTGCTGCACATTATCTATGAAAGGAAAAAAAAAAACTAAATGACACAATATATCCCAGTCAGAAACTGTAAAAACACAAAGCATCATTGGACTTTTAACTTTACGTCAGTCTTTGAATTTATCCTATGTGACATGCAGTTCCATGGGAAAAAATAACCAAACCTGAGCTTAAAATTGTATTTCATCAAAACAACATAATTGCACGTCTCATTTTAAAATTCACCAAAACTAAACCATTGGCACCAAATTCTCTAAAAGACTAAATATTCTGCACTCTCTGTGTAGGAGGAGTCAACACGAGAGACTGAATCAGTAAAATGAATGCAGCATGGCTCCAAAAAAAATAAAAAGTGTGCTGTTTCCATCGAGGTGCAGGACTTAATACTGCAGTGAAAGAGTTCAGAGGGTTAATGCCGTGTGTAAAGCACTTTGCTCGTCTGTGGGAAGGTATTTTTCAATTTCCTTTGAATAGCGTTTTGTTTTTATCATTACCTGCTCCAGGTCTGCACTGGCATCTGACTTTGCTGCCAGCTTGAAGAGCTCCTGTTCATGCATCTGGTTGATCTCCATCAGCTGGTTATCTTTCTGAATGATGATGTCTTTGAATGTCTGGATCTAAAAACAGATACATGGGGCATCATTAGACATAAATCAGCTATATTTCACATCAAATCAAACTACGCAATACAAGCACAACTGCTGACTGATTGCTTTGGAAACCCACGTTCTGCTTGTACATGTTCTCCTTCTGGTTGTACTGTTCCTTCTCTGTGGACAGCAGGTCTTTGAGGCTGTCTGTCTGCTCCTGCAGCAAACTGTAGCGTTCCTCTGCTTCTCCCACTTTCTTGGTCAGGCTTTGAACCAGCAGCTGCAGCTCCTGCATCGCTCCAGTGTCCTCCACCACCTGAGGAGGTGTAGCACAGCTGAGCATCGATATTTACAGTAATTACTGCTTTTTGAGAGAATTCCTGTAATATACTGTCGTTATTCTTCTGTCCTGATCTCAAGACGTGTTTGCCGTGGAGAACCACAGAGAAAAGCGTGTGTTGAGAGGTGTATGACCTTTTGCTGTGGTGCAGGTGTGATGGGTTGATCGCCTGCCAGTGCTGTTTGCAGGTGGACAATGTAGGCCTCTTTCTCTGCCAGCTTTCTGTCCTTCTCTGTCAGCATAGCGTCGATTTCCTCGCCTCGCTGCCTCTGTGACTCCAGCTCCCTCCTCTGCAGGGATTTAGAAATGCTTTTAGTGAGAAAAATGAAGACGATTTCATGCCTGATCTGTTTTCCATTTTGGAAAAAAATCAGAGCTGCTCGACTCTGGATGTGTTTTTAAACAAATGACACAACAGCTGAAGACATCCAAACATCTTTTTGCTTTAGGACACCTTATTCTGTGAAGATAAAGTCAAGCCACAAAATGTTTAGGGTTTGAACTTTTTAGCACAGAAGTAAGTGTATAAAAACAAACAAAGAGGAATGCCTTCATTGAGTTTTAGGTTCAATATGATAATGCAGTGAAATGAATCAATATATGTGTGCTTTTAGTTTAAGTGCAATGCAGCGAATAATCCAACACGTCACTTGATTTTTCTCCAAGCAGCATATTTGTTTAATATTGTAATTCCATGCATAGACAATACCATACTCTTTGATATTCATTTATAGTAATCACAGTCATGACACTGGCATCACCATTTTAAGTCCAACTTCCCCCAGTGCATAATTTTGAAAAATGCTAAAAAGTGCTGAAAGGGTTGAGAGTGGATTTGTGAGGCAGTTTGCTAAGTGACATTTGCAGGCTACAGAAATATGAAGAGCGATGCAAAATCACACATTAGCCTACTGGAAGACTATGGTGGTCCCCAGCCTCATCAATTAGAGCTGTTGGCTGCAGCCCCAGTTATCCCTTAAGTAGCAGCTCTTCAGAATGATATGGCTTGATCAGCGTTGTGCTCTCATGTTGCCTTCTGTGCTTCACTGCAGTCTAAACCGAGCCAGCGTCAGCCCTTTATGTCTGCTTACTTCCCTTCTGTTCTCTGGGAAAATGGAGCCCATATTTAAAAATATCAAAGTTATCCTTTAAGGTAACAAACAAGTATTTTCATTAAATCTCAGAAATGTTATTTGTTGAACTGAACAGACTTTTGACTGTAAGTACAATAAGAGTTGCCCTCTTTTTTTCCCTCAAATATGGTAAAGATAGTGGTTGAACACTTAAAAAAAAACGTTAAATTACTTAAAATTTCTGTCGTACATTTTCAAAGCCTCCAACCACAACCAGTCAAGCAGGCCACTGCAAACCAAAAAAAAAATACCCTGGGGGTACCCTTTAACTTTGCTGTACATGCGAGACATTTACCTTGTTTTCCAGTTCCTCATCTCTTTGTGCAAGCTGCTGTTCCAGTTCTTCGACCTTCTTCTTTAGCAAGACAATCTTGCCCCGACTGGCTTGATCTCCTCCTTCTGATGAACCCTAAAAGGAAGCAGAAAAACAAACATGATAAAAATTAAATGTAAGTTACAGATTATTTTGTTTTACACAGACAATGTTCTGAATTCTAAAAAAAAAAAAAAAAGCACAATGTCATCAAGAAACTCCCCTCAATAATGATAATAATTCAACATTGCTTATAGTACACCCCAAAAAGGGCTGCCAGGACTGAGTTTAGCTCCCAGATCATCTTTATCAAAAATAACTGAATATTTACCTGTACTTTTAGTCCCATTCACATTCATTTATGTAATGTGTTAGGAAATAAATGTTTAAAATGCATAATTCCATGCTAAAACGTTTACTAAAACATATTTGTTGTGCCTAAATTATTTGCTGGTGCACCTAATTGAAAAAGTTTCTGTACATATTATCCATGACACCTTCATAAGTCAGCTGTACAGGTGAGGCAGTGGATGAGCACTGGAGCCCCCTGGTGGTAAACCTCCAATTAGTTAAATCACATTTGGAATCAGTATTAAAACATATGGTTAAAGCTTCTGGGATTCATTTATTCATTATCGATATTCAGAATCGTGTGTCAGTGTGTGCTCTTGTTTACCTTCTTGCTGTGTGTTGGCGTGCCGGGACCTCCCTGCTGTTTCTTCAGCTCTTCCAGCTGTGATGTGAGGGAGGTCACCTTGGCTTTATTCTGCAGACGCAGCTTTGACAGTTTGGCCTCACATGCCTCCTTCTCCACCTGAGTCACAAACAATAAGATCTTCACCTCAGGTTTGATATAACATCAGTTAAGTGCTTAGTTGCACAAGGAGTTGCAGCACATACTGTAAAATGTAAAGAGATGTTGCTATCAAGTGCAGCACGCGTTAATGTTTCCACTCTGCTGCAAAGGCTGAGTTGTTATCTAACATTCCTGAATTTATTGTTGTAGAGTAGACTTTGACTCGAGGGTTTAATAGTTAACAAGATCCGGGTTTTCTACTGAACGATCTCAGTCAGGGACTAACAGGAGCAGCATTACATACTGACTCAGAGTAACTCATGTGACCAGCAGTGCCTGGCTTAGTCAGACACAAATCTCTGCCAAACAGGCTGCAGAGTGTGTGCAGCACTAGAAAGATTAAGTTCAATTATCCCACACCATGTTGTTACACATGGAGTTGTACTAAATAAATGCAGTTAGTAAAGCAAAGAGAGGCTCCCAACCAAAACTGAGAAAAACTCTCTTCACTGAGACCAGCTAGCTTGGCTTAAATGTAGAGTTTACACATATTTTCAATTAGCTATCAACTATTGAATCATTGCAGACCACTTTCCCAAATGAGAATATTTTCTGTTTCTTTTCTTTGCCAATGACAGTAAGCTAGATCTCTTTGGGTTGTGGGCACAACAAGACAGGATGACATCTTTGGCTTTGGAAAACACTGATCAATATGTTTCATCATTTTATAGTCCAGAAAATAACAACCAATTTAATTGGCCTACTGTAACGGAAGCTCGGGTTTTATTGCAAGTACTTTGGCAATTTGGTTCAAGGTTTCACTTTCATTTAAATTACATCCAACAACAATGACAAACACACATACTGAAAGCAAAAGAAGCCACATTTTGTTTCTTGGTTTAAGTAATAACAAAGGAGAAATATGACCCGTATTTGTGCCACATATGGGTCACCTGTTATATAAGCATAAACAACACAACAATAACACTACAATGTTGTCCTCCCAAACATTGACCTCTCATAAATCAGAATAGCTGTTAAGTAGAGAAAAGCCAGTCCTCACTAGAGATGCAAGTTCTAAACAATTTTCTTAATCAATAGTCGGAAATCAGTCAACAATCAATCAACTGATAACAAACATTATTCTATTTACTGATACTGCTATTTTTTACCTTGGATATGGGCTTATTGCATACATCATTGTGTTATAGCAGTGCTGTCGTAATGGGACATCTGGCTGGTAACCATTAGCTGTCACAGAAGACTTGGTCATGGTGACCCATTGCTAGCTAAACCACCGCAATGCTCTCTGCTTGCCAACACGAAACTACCTATAGTCCTAGTCTCCACATCTTGGGTCCATCTTATTGGTTAGTATATTTTTAATTGGCTAAATTATTACAAGCAGTTGATCAATAACCTACAATTAGTTAACATGTCCAAGCCCTCACCTTGAGCTGGTCATCTTTGGAGCGAAGTGCAGCTTCCTTTTCTCGGATCATCTCCTTCAGCTGAGAGACGAGCTGCTCGGTTTGGGCCAGCCTCTCTGCCATTTCTTCTACTGCAACCTCTCCACCAGCACCAGCAGCAGCAGCAGCAGCAGCAGCAGCCCTGTGGGGAGAGCCCGGGCCCTGAGGAGAAACAGAAGAAACCTTGAGGGCTTTGAATGCACATCCTGGCTAAACAACTAATTGAAACAGCTGGTGTTGAAATGACAATGCTTGTGTCAGTTTGCAGTAATGTTTTAGACAGCAAAATGCTATTTCATCCGCTTTATGTGTGTGCTGTCTACTTTTATCAGTTATTCTGTGTGCTTGTTGTATTTTAATTTTTAATTTATTTTATTTAAAAGCATTTTGTAACATTTGTTTTGAAAAGTGTTCTATAAATAAAGTTCATTGTTATTATTATATATAAGATGGGGGAGATGAAGGAGCATAATATTACTAAAAACATACATAAAAGAAAGATTGCTTTTCATATGTGAAGGCTGAATGTGAAATCTACAATGCATTAGTACTGATCCCACTGACTCCAACACCCATTATGGTACCTAAATACTATTTTCCAATCTTTTTATTTTCTGCCTAATCTCTGGTCACCTCATTGGGTCCGACTGGTTTTCTGCAGATAAAATAACAAGAAGCTGAAGCCACATGTTGCTTTTTTAACTACAAGCAGAGTTATGCTGTATCGGCTGGTGGAAATTTAATAATATTGTTTGATGCTCTGTGAACTTTCGAAATGACAGCAACAACAATTCTATCCATAATAGACAGAAAGATGTTTTATTGTCCTCATGGGGATTCTTTTTGTGTTGTTTCGTCTTGCAGCACGACCGCTGTAACCTCTATATATCTCAGGCTACTGTTTAAAGTTCAAAGTGACACAGGGACAAAGGAGAGCCGATTTAATTTACACCACTGAAGTCTGTATCGTCTAACAGAATACGGGATGGATTTACGTAGGATTCTTTTTAATAGTGTGAGTGTGTACTGGTTTAAGAGACTGAAGGTTAAAATGATCTTTCTGACCAACAATTGTCCTTGCAGTCTAAACCAAATGTGTTAACTGATGCCACAGAAGGACTTCCAAACTGTGCAGTCATTCCATAGCAGATACTTTCTAAAGCAGCCTGAAAAAAGTTTTCCGTCTGGCTCCAATGCAATTCCCCGGAGGACTAAAGAACAAACCTTGCCAGCAGGTGTATATCAAGTTCATGTGCTACCACTGTGGAATCTTTTCTTTAACACACAAAATGTAAAAAGAAATCTGAGCGATGTCATCAATCAATACAATCCTAAAGCAGATAGGATAGAGAGGTTGGGGGTTTCAGGGGGGATTTAAGCTAATGCAGGGGTCCCCTCTAACAGGAAGTGTCCAAGTCAAAGCCCTGTGCTCAGCAGTCCAACTAATTCCAGTGTATCTGGACATGACAGACACTGCAAAGCCTTCACTGGGTTTCCTTTGAGCTAACTAAAATGCTAGTAAGTGATGACGCGATGATTCATAAAAATGCAGCTTGATAAAGGCTGTGAGTGTAACGTCACTCTGTTTCATGTACATATTGTTAGTTAATTAACTCAAGTTGAGCAAAAAAAGGACGATAGACAAAGACTTTTAAACATTGGAATGTATGAATTTTAAACATCATCCACAATAACACAGTTTCCTTTCAAAATGAACAAGATCTTTGTGCAGAAGGTTTAGCGCAGTTCCACAAATAACCTCTGTCCATAGTCACACCTTAAAATGCATATCACCTGATGTGCACTAATCAGTGTAAACATGAGGCAGAAGGCTGGTTGCTTTGTTGTAGAAAATACTACAGACGAAGAACAGCAAAAGAGGAAAGACCAGATATTTCTTTGCCTAGACAAAAAGGTCAGCAACCCTTTTAATCGGTGATATATTTAAATTAACCACCGGTACTCAAGGCTAATGTCTTTGTTTTCCAGCAGAAGAGCGTCACTTGATAGGAGTGTGATGAATCAGAGAAGAACGCTTAGTGACTTTTCAGATGTTTTCGTTTTAGCACAAGAAATATTTAGAAGGTCAGGAATTATTACAGCCAGCATTTTTACTTTTATAGAAACAACTTGTGAGAAGTAAGATATAACCTTACTGAAGATAAAAGTGCATTAGGATTGTTTGTAAAAGTTACTGCTGGTAAAAATGCCACAAAACCAGACACTGATGACTTACCCAAAACATTGGGCACAGACTGCTTCAGGGAGTCTGTTTTGGGGCTTCTAGTGTAGCCAGCTGATGTCCAGATAACACACACAGGGGGCAAGACTTCATGTTTCATGTGTCTTTGTTTAGCAAATCTGGGAACCCATCAGCTATAATCTGATGTCTTATCACTAACATCTAAGAACAGAAATCTGTATATATGAATGCAGAGCTTGGTTTTGCCTGATTGAAACCAAATTACAGTCAAGTTTAAGTTAATTTCATGTCCAGTCTCTAATTTGGTGTAACATAAAATAGATTTCACAGCACTGTGAGAACCGAATTTCCAGTTTTAGGAAGTTAAAACAAAAACAATCGTAATGCTTTGTATTTTCACTGTATGCCGACTTAGACAGTTAAGCTGATTGATAATACTCCATCTGCCTGCTATATTCCTTTGCCCCGGTACAGAATCCTAATAAGTTGTTAATTTTTTCTGTGGAGTTTGGCACTCTGGTTGTTACTGAATGTGTTTCACAGTTTTACGGATATTTTGTAAGTAACATCAACACCTTATAAAAAGCTAAATTGTTGCAAGATTACATTTCAGCCACCGTGTTTTGCCTCTTTTGCATCTACATGGACTGTTTATCTGCATGCAACCAAAGCTCGCGCAACATGATTGGTCAATAGCACAAATGAAAACCAGAAAGTAACTTCCAGTACCCAGATATATCGCCAGCTGATTCTGCAGATTCATATGAACATATTTGTTTATAGGGATTGCAAACAATGAAACAAAAGCACATGTGTACTTACTCCAGGGCCCGGCTCTCCCTCTTCGCCAGAAAACCATTTCAGCATGGTTTCGTTTGAACCTGAAACACACAAGGTAAAGAAACCATTTAGAATCTAAGCTGCACAAGCTGTAGTTCTCTGCTTTCATGGTTTAAGGTAAAAAATTTGCATTCATTATTCATCAGGCCTACTTCAGCCTTTATCTCATGCCCGTCTACAATAATAGCAAAGCCACAGTTCTTGCAAAAATCCCTTTGAATAAAACGCTCAGTGCTCCATTGATTTTAAGTTTTGAATGATTCCTTCACCCTTTTTAAACTTAAAATGAAGCAAATGTAAGCAGCAAGAACACCTTAAAATGCTGTTTCATTGTGACTTTAACAGCTTTACACTGTTGATCGCTGGTATCCTTCATAGCTTTACACATTTTTTTTTTCACAGAATTATACAAGGGATGGTTGAACCTCTACATAGTAGCACTAATATGGCATTTAAATGAATGAGTAGGTCAGTGCTCCTACTGTTGAAGGCAATACAAGACTATGCTGACTGAGATGCCGCTTTAAAATATTTACAAGCATCCTAGAACATCAGATAATTGACTGAGGAGGGCAGGCTTTCAGGTCATTTCATCATACAGGCAAGCCAAAGGTATGTGTGCCAAGCAAGTCAAGTGACTGTTGGGATGTAGGCCAAGAATTCATCATAATCATCGTTTGAAAGCTCCAGTTAAGCAGCTGAAAGGCAAAACCCTGTGTAAAATCAGACTGACAGGTGTCGCTCAGGGTACTAGCACCCTAACAACTACAAGTCTGGGCTAGCCACGACTTGAGGCCTGGTCTAACACAGGGACAGGCTGCACGATAAGGCCACATTCATTCAGCCTGCTGAACCGGCCAGCCCACGTGACACACGACAAAAATCAGGTCAGACTGGTCCTCTCAGGCATACCACAGCAGGATACACTGTCTGAACTGCCACTGTGGCTATCCGAGGACTTTCTGCAATTTATTCACCTACTTATTTATAATGAGCAACAGGCAAAAAGAACAAGCGCAGAAGCTTTCCCAGTGTTGTACCAAAAAGAAATCATTGGCCAAAAACTGATTTCCCAGTTTATATATGTCAACAAATTCTTTTCTCTGGTCAAAGTGTCACAACATGCAGAGGAAGGATTTGCTTTTGTTAAACTTTGACATTTGTTGTACCTTAATAATTCTGACCAAGAAATGGTAAATGTAAAAAAAAATTTTTTTTTTTAAATGTAAAACTGGAATTAAGCCTGACATTTATGAAGACTACTGGTTTTGGTGTTTCCAATGTTTAGGATGTGTCTAAAATCCTTGTTTATATTTGGATACCATCATTTACAGGTCGGTTTTATACATAAAATAAAGAAAATACCCATTCTGCAATTATCCTAAGCACTGTCCTCTTTAAAATATAAAACTTATGAATGAAATCAAGGGTTTCTGAAGCATTAATAACATTTCAGTCACAGTGCATGGACTAAAATGACTTTATGGCAGGTGGAAAGCTGCAATACATGAGTTGAACTGGGCCTTTGAAAAAGGGTTGTTATCATCGAGGAGACAGACCTGGTGAAGTAAAGCAAAGACATAAGGATTTATGACTTGACTTAGATAAAATCAGCTGTCAAGGTATGTAAACTGGGTGGTATCAGTTTTTGGTCTGCAGTCCTTTTTGTAGCATTAATGGACTGGATCTCAAGGTGCAGCCACTGTGAGGAGGATGTCCAGTTTGGGAACCTCAGACTCACATCTCTGCTTTATGCAAATGATGTGGTTTTGTTGGCTTCATCAGGACAAGGGGGCAGGTTTGCTGTTGAGTGTGAAGTTGCTGAAATGAAAGTCAGCACCTCGAAGCACCTCTTTAGTTTGAGGCTATGATTATCTGTCAAAACCGGTGGATTGCTTCCTGTAAGTTGGGTTGCTGCCTCAAGCAAAGGAGTTTAAGTATCTTTGATCTTGTTCAGCAGTGACAGAAAAATGTAACGTGAGACAGACATACAAACAGGCTAAGCATCTGCAGCAATGTGGCCGTTACGCTGAACAATCCTGGTGACAGACATTTACATTTCGATCCACATTCCAACCATCACCTCACCGCTCTGGGTAGTGACCAAGGGAACAAGATTGCAGATGGAAATTAGTTTTCTCTGTAGGGTGCCTTAGGGACAGGGTGAGGAGCTCAGACATTCGAGTAGCGTTGTTACTCCTTCACATTGAAAAGAACCAGCTGAGGTGGTTCAGGCATTTTCCAGGCACACCCAACAGGAAGCAGATCCAGGGGAAGACTTGACAGAGAGATTACATATTTCACCTGCCTGGGATTGCTTTCAGATACCCAGGAGGAACTGCAAAACATTGCTGGGGGGAGAAAAGTCTAGAATATCCTCCTCAGTCTGCTGACCCGATTCCAGACACGCAGAAAAAAATGAATGAATGGAAGGATGCATCCCATTTTTTGGGTTAAACACCTGCTGGGTTGTGACGGTGCTGTGGTAATACTGAAGCTAAATCACTGAATAATAAATGATCTAGCCTGAGTAATTCAATGAGAGACACAGCTAAAGATGCTGCAGACTGCTGAAACAGACATGCATACATACACATTAGTCTGCTGAATATACTCGTAGCTTGCAAGAAACCTAAAGTCAGAAACTGATAAGTAATCCTGACAAAATCCCCATATACAACACAATCTGCTAGCAGTCTAGCTTCATTAAAAGTTGCCCGAGGTTAGCCGACCTTTGAAGGTTGTTACAATAACTAATAATCTGGTATCACGGCTCAATTAAACCGCAAAGGCTCTGCACACCTTCCAGAGAAAGGCCTCAGGGGTTGCGGTGGGCAACTCGACCGGTTATTTACCCAAACACCAGTTGTAGCTAACATGCTAGCTAATCCAGCTAGCTAACTTTATCTCGATAGCTACATGCTAACTTTGCTAGCATCGAATTTGACATGATAAATTCGGTCTGTCATGCAACTTGTGTCGCTTTTAAGTGCTTACCGGGTTCACAACTTCATGAAGAGTCCACCCGAAGCAGCGCTGCGTCGACAAAACCCAGTGAAATTACATTTTATTCCACTTGGAGACGGAATCGCAGACGGGACAGAGATATGCATTTGGTCACGTTTGTCAACAGACAACTGGGAGGAACCTGCGCCTGCGCACTTCTGTCGTGTTGACAGGATGGAGGAAATCCAGCTTGTTTGAATAAAATCACTTAGAAAATGAAATTATATGTATAGAAGTCGTCGATGTGGCCGTAATCAATAGCTACAGTGTAGAAGTGAAGTCCTCTATTCGCTCATTATTTGTTTTATCTCAGAATAAGTTCTTGTCCCGACAAAAAGCGAATCAAAGACGAAACAAATTGCAAGAGAGTGACAGACCTATCATTTCTGCTTTCGTTTTAAACAGCGGTCAGGAACTGATCGGTCCAATTTATCAAGCAGCACCCAGTTTGAGTTAAATTTATCACACAATGAAAATACTTGTTTATGTTTCTATTCTATTTATACATTTGAAAAAGACTTCTTAACTCCTGCAAGTATTACAACAGATACAAACACAGAAATGTAAATTGTCAACACCCCTTTGCAATTTATCCATTAAAACTTAAATGATGCAACTGTAAAAAAAAAAAAAAAGTTTAAAAAAGCAGAGGAAAACAAGAAAGGCAAAGGACAGAAGAAAAAGAAGTGATTTTTCTCTGCAATACTGCTTTTTCATATTGACATAATGTACATAATTACAACAATAAACACTAATGTTCCATGTGAAATTTAACTTCTTTCTTTATTACAAAGTCTTAAGACAGATTCTTGTCATTTCAAACATGCAACAAAAGTCAACTCATCTAATACAGTGTTACAGAAGAATTCCCTAAAGTAACATCAGGCTGCATATCAGCGCTAATAATGAACATATCAGCAAGCCCAAGAGAAGCATCTTTAATCCAAGTCTTCTTTTTCCATTGCTATGTACAACGTGTCCTGAATGGAAAGGTCAGACAATCAATAAACAATACCAAACATAAATATGAACGAAATCCAAATGACTTCCAGTAATGAACACTACTGAGTAGTCGACTGTTGACTGACCACAGGCCATACATTTCAAGCCTTTATCATGACATGATAGAGATTTCAATGACAGACACACAGCATCTGTTTGTCTATGCAATCGCACAATGTACAGTGAGCCGATACAAAAAAATCAACAGCATGTTATCTTCCTTATCACACCACTGGAATTCAGATACAGAGATATGAGTCATTAGAAACTCAGCACAGTAAAAAAAAAAAAAAGTCCTGCTGCTTGCCCACTTTAAGACCTCACATCTGACAGAGGAGCAGAAGTCCCATCATTACCAAACAAGAAACACCCTGAAGGAAAAGGGTTATTTAAGGAAAAGATTTTGAGGGGCTGACGTTTGTTTGTGCGTACTGGAAGTTTTACAACACTGGAATGATGTTGTGCTTTTAAATAGCAAATGTCAGGTCTGCAAATGTAAGACTGGTTTAAAGTCTGTCCAACTGTGACTGGAGCAAAAACAGTGATGTCAGTCATACTGTCAAATGAAAAACTTCATTTCAACAGAAACTTAATCAGCAGTGGTTAAATCAAATATTTCACACACACTTTGTGATGTTAAACTGACTATCTTGCAAAAAATACTTTACTGATCTCTGATATTTCAGGATCAAACAAATAAGAAACTTAAATGTAATCATAACAAATAAAATATATCCAGCCTGAGGTTGACTCAAAACTTTACTTGTTACATACAAATGTGTGTGGAAAAATGCCAAATTTTGCTTAGAATATAAAGAAAATGAGACAGGTATAAGTTAGACATTTGAAGAGCGTTTACTTGAAAAGATGAAAATGTTGTGCAAAAAGCTGGGATTACCTTGTACATTTGTTCCTCCTCACGTTGGTCAGTTGGAGCTGTGAAGGCAACTGAAACGCCACATCTTTACTAATGACAAATTGTCTTTTGGCAATTTGAGTGCAGAAAAAGCAACTACTTGAGTCACAAAGACCATTTGTGTCACAAACACAGTTGATGTAATTGTGCATATGCAATAATGTGGACAATATTTGTAAAAAATTTAAATCATAGAAAGTGATCTTAGCTGGGAAGCATATGACTGTTTCACATGACAGAGGTTTTAAAGGCAGGCAGAACAGCTGACAGGCTCTTATGAAGCTCTTCTGAGCCATCCTGTGCATCACCTGGATGATTCACTGCATCCTGGAAGATTTATAAGTCACCACCTGGAGGATGAGAGCAGACATCTTTGCTGTGATGCTCTAAACAAGAACAACACCTCAGTCAGAGACACAGCCGGGGGACTTGAGGGGACTTTTCCTCCTCCTGTAGCCCTGCTGCTGCTTTGCTAACTGCAGCCTTTCAGTGATTTAAAAAAAAAAAGAGAAAAAGTACAGCCACTAGGGTGTGCTAAGGCCCAGTTTTTAAGTTGTACAGCTCTGTGGTGACTTTGTGTCATTTTTTTTCTTTAAGCTATTGGGACTGTGCATCACGCTACAAGCACAACCCAGGCATATGTTGTTGTGACAAACATTTAAAGTTGTGTTTCTTGGTTTGGTCAGTGAAAAATATTTTTTTTTATTCTGACTAAATTCACTCATGAATGTGTACTTTGTAAGTGTAACTGAGTATTTTTCTTTACTTAACTGTTTGTTTGGCTGGAAATCACAATATGGCGGAAATGAGCTCCTTGATGGAGTTCCATGCTCGCCGAGTGCTTTTCTGTATTTAGCATATTTTTGAGGTACTTGTATTTTACTTCAGTATTTACAGGTTGTGCTATTTTCTCTGTCCATTCCATTACATTTTATAGGGTAATATTGTACTTTGTAGTCCACTACATTTATCTGAGAACATTTTTCAGATGAACATTTGAGACATCGGATAATAAAACAAGCTTTTATAATACAGCACACATGTATGTAACGTGCTCACATTTTAGATGTGTATAAGTTGTTAACAGCTCCATCAAATACAGATTTTTCTCTTTGAACTTCTCATTCATAATTTAAATAGTTCAATGTTCCAATGGTTTAGAAAAAAAAATCAAAGGTTCGGGAAAAACTGAAACAGATTTGTGTATCAGAACTTGTTTTTTTCCTCTTTTATCATCTCTTTACTCTCAGATTTATCTTCGGTCCTTGTACATAAAACTGGATAGAATAGTTCAAAGTGTGACAGCTACAACTTTAACATGCTGCTGACACAATGATGACAATAAACTAATAATATATACGATGTATGCTTTAATATTTTAATTACATTCTCATACTTAGTTACTTTCTCTGTCGCCGCCCCCACCCTCTGGAACTCTCTCCCACAACATATCCGTGACACCACAGACCCAGTAATATTTAAATCCCAACTAAAAACTCACCTGTTTCACTCTGCTTTTCTCACTTAAACCTTTATCTTGATATCTTGTGTTGTTTTTATCTGCTTGCTTGTATTTCTGCGTAGTCTACTTTTGTATTAGTTGCTTTTATTGCTCTTTTATCCTGTAAAGTGTCTTTGAGTTTTTGAAAAGCTCTATGCAAATAAAATGAATTATTATTATTATTACATGACGCTGATGTGCTTTTACTTTAGTAGGAGTTTTGATACAGGACTTTTACCTGTACTGGGGTATTTTGACTTTGCTACGTTGGTGTGTTTAGTCCAGTAATAGATCTAAACACTTCCTCTACTTCGAGAACCTTTGACTGCAAAGATTTAACCTCTTAGCCTTGAAGGCTTTTTGCATAACAGTGGCTTCCATTGGGTTCACAAACACACAGCGCTTAACACACTTTAGACTTTTTAAAATATGTGTACAATTTAAAAATCAGAAAAGTTTAACAAAAATACAGGTAGTTATTATTATATTGGTTATTTAAACTGGATGCCAAAATAGGTGCGTGTCTGTAGTGTCTCCGTGAGGCCAGGGTTTATTTTAGCAGTTGGTAAACAGTCTTAAGCACTAAGAATAGTAAGTCAGGCTAAATCCGTGCGGTAAATGTCCCATTAGGTCTACACGAAGTGACTAGAGCAGTGTGCTGACACTGGATTACAGAGCATGGCTGGCTGTATTCTTGTATGTTGTAAATAGAAAAGTCAAGCTGAGGTCGATGCATGTTTTTTCCATGGATCCATAGTCAGGTTGCCATGGCAACAGGCTATTCTAGCAGTGTTCTCCAGCTCCTCCTGGAAGATCCTGAGGGTTTCCAGGCCAGATGAGATATCTATCTAATGAGTTGTGCGTCTGTACTGCAGCTTTTCAAGTTAATATATGAAACATTCTAGCTCCAAGGGGAAAGTTAACACACTAAAGCACGACAAGAACAAAAGAATGCGTTCTAAAACATGCATGCACATTGTAGTATTTTTAATTTCAACCCAGCAGGGGTGTTGAGAACATTACAATATTTACACCACGCCAGCAGTTGAGCCAATCAGACAGTAGAGAGAAAAAATATTTACATGCCTTATTAATTCTTCTGACTGTCAATATCTGATTTAGCTCACACACTTCCATCATTCTCTCCTACATTTGGGACTCCTCAGTACTGCACTTATTTTCTTTGTCATTCATCTTCAAATAAGCTTTTAAAACAACTGTTCAGCTCACACACAGGAACAAACATGCACTCCAGATTTTAAACCAGGCACACAGTGATAAGACATTTACAGACAACAGTAAACATGCAATAAATACAACTTTTCATGATGCAAGCTTTGTTTTTATGATTTTTGACCATCAGTAATGAATTTTCGATGCAAAATCTTCACCTCAATTAAATTTTTTTGACAGCCATATCTGACAAAGATTTGACTTCAGTGACACAAAACAAGGCCCTCAAAATAAAGATGGTGCTTTTCATGTCTTTCAAAGAACTTTAGTTATCAAGTCCTGTTTTCTTGATGACGGGACAAACCATTTCATGGCATCATAAATTACACACAGTTAGAATTAAAGTGTTTATCTCTGCAGGTGAATTCATAAAAAAGTAATATCTGGGGTGAAACCAAATATATATGACATCCTAAAAAAGCATTTGCTCCAGTGTTTATGGTTTTGCCTCTTAACCTTAGAACCTTTAATAAAATCACGTGGCTACAGATAGTTTAGCCAAATAGATATTTTATAATTATACATAGGCCACCTCATAGCACTTAACACAATACGGTGAAGAACTTACAAATTTTGAACAGAGAACCCAACAATC